CTTCTGCCAGTCACATAGTTCCTAGCGCAAGGCTATGATTTTCCTCAACATTCAGTAGACATTTCCTGCAAAGGAATGTTTGCTGCTTCATAATGAAGTCTGTTGTATTTGCTGCCTCCTTGAAACATTAATCTAGAACTATCTGAATTCGTGTCTATCAAATTGTAGTTCCTGCCAGGAGTTGGTGGCACACAGATTGAGTTCCAGGGCAGGCTCCAAAGCAATACAGAGAAACCCTGTCTCAAAAAACAAAACAAAATAAATTTGTGGTTCCTGTGATGTCCAAGTAAAGTGGGTTTTTGTTTGTTTGTCTTTTGTTGTTGTTGCTTTCAAGATAGGGTCCTACTATGTATCTCTGGATGGCATAGAACTTGCTATGTAGTTTGAGGCTGGCCTTGAACTCACAGAGATCTGCCTGCCTCTTCCTCACAAGAGCTGGAATTAAAGCTGTGAGCCACTGAGTGTCACTTCAGTATTTTGTTTTGAGACAAGGCCAAATATAGTCCTGACTGGTTCCAAACAAAGTGATTTTACATAAAGCTTTTGTGTTTGATTTGCCAGACAAGAAATATGCCTGTTGATGTGGTACTCAGGCCTCTCAGGCTATGGCTTGAGCAGTCACCCTAGCTTACAGGTTCCTTCTGCTTTATTGCTGCTCAGCTGATTAGGGATCGAGGAAGCTGGGCTGGTAACAGGCCCCAGTGGGGAAAGGTACTTCCATGCATGCCTGGTAGCCAGAATTCTGTCCTGGGATCCATAGGTCACTCCTATCAATTGAATCTGACCTCACAAATAAATAAATGTAGCCATTTTTTAAAATAAAAAAGTAGAGGAAACCAAGAAGGTCAATTGTGACAATGAAAGATGTTTGTTTTATCCCTACCATTCAAGAAGTGAAAAATGTTTTAGATCTTCCATACCAGAAACTGGGCACAGAGATCAATAGGTATGAATGTATGTGTGCATGTATATATAATAATGTCATATACTATATACTATATGTTACATATAATATGTTATAATATTATTATAGTAATAAAATATATTTATATATTAATGCAATATTATATATACATGTAAGTTTATATATTATTTTATATGAATGAGTATTTTGCCTGCATGTATATATATGCACCATGAGCATATCCAGTGCTTTTGGAGGTCAGAAGAGGGTGTTTTTTGGAGCCGCTGGAACTGGAGTTACAGATGGTTCTAAGTCACTATGTGGGTTCTGGGAATGGAACCTGGGTCCTCTGTGGAAGTAGCAAGGGCTCTTAACCACTGAGCCATCTCTCTGTTGGAAATGTATCTCCTTATTGTGTCACAATGTTACACTTCCGTTAAAAGCTCCACACCCCACGTCAGGGATTGAACCTAATGCTTCAGACAGCACTTCTTTTTTTCTAGTTCTTCTGGGGTTTTTGTTTTGTTTTCAATTGTAATTGTGTTTGATTAGTTGTTTGAGTGTGGGTACACGTTGGTCCGAGAGGACAGCTTGGCAGGGGTCAGTTGTCTCTGTCCATCGTGTGAGTTTCAGATATTGCTGTCAGGCCTGGTGACGACCTCACCTGCTGTGCCTTCTCTCCCTCCTCCCTCCTTGTCTTTGTTCTTTCCCCCTATGGGGCAGAGGCTCAGGCATGCTAAGTGTGCACTGCATTCCAGTTTGGTTTGTTCTATTTCTGAATGCTGAATTATTTTCTCATGGAAAAGACACAGGAAAATAGCTGACAAGATTGTTGGAGTGTTGAGAAAAGGATGGAGAAAAGTCTGGTGTGGGGGCCTCTAAGGTGCTTCTTTCTGCAGGTAGAGGCACTTGCTGAGCAAGCTCACAGGCCCAGAGTTCCAGCCTTTGAACCCCATAAAGTGGCTTTGCCATACGTGAAGATCTTGTAGATAATTTAGGGTTTTTGCCTGATCTTTTAAAATCATTATTTTTAGCAATTAGTTTCCTGTGTGTATACCTGTGTGCATATGTATAGTCAAGTGACAGTTTATGGAAGTCTGTTCTCTCTTTACATCACGTGGTGTCCAGAGGTCAAACTCAGCTCAGACCCGGTGGCAAGTGCCCTTACCTCCTGAAGCCATCCTGTCCACCCAGTTAATTTATTTTTCAGAGTCCTTGTTGTGTGGTCCAGGCTGGCCTCTAATTCGGTATCCTTTGGCCTCAGTCTCCTGTGCACTGGAATTATAGGCACTTCAGTGCCAAACTTGGCTTCATCTCTTTCTAAGGACCCTCTTTGGTATTTCTCCTCCTATATAAACTTCCCATTTTTATTAAAATTCTAATACAAGCCACCATCATTAAATGCAGTTGTGTTAGGAAGGTTTGCTGCTGGGAGGATGTTAGCATTTCTACAGCATTGCCTTCCTGTTTAAAAACTGTCCTTCGATTTTTGTAGGGTTATGGTTGTAATATTCTGCATTTAACAGACCTTTCTTTAAAAAAGTTTTCTGTGGGGGTAGGGTAATGCATGTGGGGATTACAGAACTCACAGGAGTTCGTTCTGGGGATCAAACAGGTTGTCAAGCTTAGAAGCAGGTGCCATTTACCCACTGAAGCATGTTGTTAGGCAACATGTTAGCTTTATTCATAATCTCATTTGCAGTTCTTTGCCACCAATTTTTCTTCTCCAATTATTTTTCTTTTTTTCTTTTTTGGTTTTATGAGACAGGGTTTCTCTGTATTGTTTTGGAGGCTGTCGGTCCAGCCCGGCCTTGAACTCACAGAGATCCGCCTGCCTCTGCCTCCCGAGTGCTGGGATTAAAGGCATGCGCCAACACCGCCCGGTTTCCAATTATTTTTCATATTCTTATTGTCAAATTATATATATATATGTATATATATACATACATACATACACACACATATATCCAGGCACTCACTGTATCTGATTTTATCTGTTGTATTATCCTTTAGAAATCCAAATAGACATATTTCATTTTCTCCCTGAATTTTTTTTAGTTTATTTGCAACAACTGTAAAAGACTGTACCCAATTTGTTTTACATTAAGTTAAATGGTTTTAAGTGTTTTACAATTTAGTACATTACGCCTTTATATTCTCTTCTCTCAGAACTTTTTCCATGCTTGGCATCCTCACTCTGTTTCCTTCCTTTTGACCGTCACCTCCACTAGAACTTTGTATTACCGCTAGATGGTTTTCACAAATTAATTGGAATATTTTCAAGGACTTTTATGGCCTGAAACAATTTGATGTTGCTTTGGTGCATGTTTCTGGTATAGGCTCTTGACATTTTTACTAGCATCTAAGTGTGTAGATCTAGCCAAACTCTTGCTTCTTCAATCTGTTCTGATGCTTTCAAATTGTTCACAGCGCTATATTGATCCCGTTTTTAACCTCATTTGTGTCTTAGACAGGACTCTTTTCCTTTGAAATTATTTTATTTTCATTAGGCTCAAGAACTTACTATGTATTTAAAAGCTAGATTTGTGATTTTGGGGTGGGGGATATGTAGCATGGTAGAATAACTTCCAATTCATTGATTCTGTGTTCTTTCTACTTTGTTGAATAAAATACATTTGATTGTTCTACTATTTATTGCTTTCTCGAGACAGGGTTGAAATTAAAGGCATGCACCACTACTACCTTGCTTGATTGTCCTATTTTAACAATTTTCACCCCTCATTTTTCATTCTTTGCCTAGTAATAGGATATTTAAATCTCCTCTTGTGTTTTCATTGTCTGTAATTACCTGACTTAATGAAATGAGTAGACAAAGTTTTAAGATAGAAATTTCAGAAATCTCAGTAATTTAGCATGAGAAATGACAGTTAAATGTAAAATAGTGTTTTTGTTGTTGTTTCATTTTTCCAGACGGTTTCTCTGTCGTTCTAGGAGCTTGTCCTAGAACTCACTCTGTAAACCAGGCTGGCTTTGAACTCAGAGATCCACCTGCCTCTACCTCCCAAGTGCTGGGATTAAAGGCATGTGCAATCACCACCCAGCAGAATTTGTAATAAATGGTGCTGGCACAAACTTAAAAGTCTTGAAGGAACCCTTATGAATACAACACCGATACCTTTTGCCATACACAGAAATAAGCCAGTTTCATTACTTATAATTTAAAAATCTTTTAAGAATCATTTGCCCATGTGCACTACCTCAAATCAGAAAGTTCCTTAACCAAGATTTAAAAATCAAATAATGTACAAAAATAAAAAAAATCTGCTATGGAAAATACAACATGAGATCTACGAATGAATGAAAAAGTGCATCTGTAGCTAGGTATGGATGTATAGCTTATGATACCAGTACCTGGGAGGCTGGGGACAAACACCCTGCATTACATAGCAAGCCCCTATACAGTAACACAGGGCAGTGTGCTCTGGACAAAGTCAGACATTGTCATGAAAGACCATTCCACACCAGAGACCAAGGAAAGCAAAGATAGCAACAAAGAAGAGCTCTGCATGCAAGGTTTCAAGATAAAGAATTGCTAATACCTCCAGAGAAGTATAAGCAGAAAAAGAATGTCTATTACTGTGGAAGTCACACACACACACACATACACCTCTTCCTCTCCTGCAGAAACGGGAAAAGCTAGAAGGTACAGACGTGTGCAGACTGTGAATGGCAGCCACGCAGGCTTGTGCTGGGCAGGAGCTTTGAGCTGCCATGCTGCCCACTAGCTTCCCTTCCCACTCTGAAGAGGCTGCATCAGGCAGAGCTCCCCTCCTTCCTCAGCACTTCCCTGGACACCTATCATGATCAAAGAAAGGAGACAGTTTTGTAAAAGGTAAATCCTGAGATGCTGTAAATGTTTCTATAGCGCAGGCAAAACTAGAGTGGTGAACAGCGAGGCAAGGCTAAATAATTTCCAGGACACACTGCTGAGACAAGATTCTATAAAGTGTTTATAAAAGTTATCCTAGTTTCATAAGAGAAATTGCATTTTCATACATTTACCATATAAATGCATAGAAAAATATGAATATGGGGAAACCACAGAAGAGGTAGGAAAGAAAAGTTCAGAGCATAATAAAAAAAATTCAGAACTTTAATTACACGTCTCAGTTCAGGTATAAAACACAGGTAGGAGAAGACAAGCTCATACAGTACTTCAGCAAGCCAGTGTGGGGATGCCTGGTGCACACTTCCCCCAGCTGACTGCAGCGTTACTAAGAAGTCATGTCTATCAGTGCTTCTCAAGTGTGCTCTTGCCTGCAATCTGTTAGGGCTGTAAATGTGTAGACTGCACTGCACACTGAGTCAGTAACCAGGGAACGGGCTTGGCAACTTATATTTATGTTGAGACAAAGTCAAGTTTATTTGGTAGGATACAGTCTTATTTCAGAGGTTAAAATAAGAAAGTCCTTCTTAGAAACGAGGTCATTTATTAGACTGACATTACATTTTATTTTCTTCCAATATGCAAATTATTCCCTATTTGCAATCTAAATTTCCAATACCTAGATCCGATCCACTAATCCGTTTTGTTTCCTTTGCCTGCTCTTTCCTTGGGCCCCATCAGCTGACAGAAGGGGGCAGGGATTGGCAAGTCAGAGTGTAAAACTATGTATGCAAGTACTTGGGTAGCTTAGAGTTTGGAGATTTTGCACAACTAGATTGAGCATGAGTTGTTCTTAAATTAGACCCATCTAGTCTTTTTCTGTGAAGGAATGTTGGTATTTAATTCTAATTTACATCTTCCTTTCATGAGGTTTTATTTAAAAATAGAAAGCTTTATCTAAAAAAATTAATGCTCTTTATCTCTTTGGTAGTGTCATGCTTTAGGAATGATTTGGCTTTTACAACTTATGTTAGCAATGTCTAACACTAATCATTATTTCTATTTTAAGCAGTATATGCTTGCGTTACCTTTGAATTATTTGTTCCTTGACTGGGATAAAGAATAGCTTTTCATGTTCTTGTTGTATGTTCCTAAAAGGAACATTTCACATGATACCACTTTGTCTTTCCAGCATTCCTACCACACAGGTATGCTATGCCATGCCTCGCCTTGGGAACTCAGTTTCATTACAACTGCTTTCATTCTGGTCCCATTTTCATTATACACTGTCTTTTCTGCATGCACATTTGATTGTATTACTCCTGTCTGAAATGCTTCTGTAACTTTTCACAGTAATGATCAAGATTTTGGACATGGCTACAAGGCCCTGCACGATTAGCTTTCAGCCTTCTTTTCTACTTCACACAAGAAATTCTAAGAAACTATGCAAATATTTTCACATCATTTAAAACCAGTATAATTCAGAGCAGTCCCTTACACCCCACTTCAGAGATGAAGACTCTACCACAGTGCATCTCTAGAAAATCACCAAGTACAGGTTAACCTAGCAACTTTGTTTAATGCTGTAAATTCAAGAAAGTTTCTCAGGGACCTATCTCTCTCACAAAATGGAAGTATTAGCACTACACCAATCTCCTAAAATGATTAAGGAAGTGAATTCATTCATCTAAAATGCCCTATACAATGTTAGCATTCAGCACATGCCTTATTAATAAAACAAGTATCACTTTAAGCCAAAGCATCTTTCTACTTCAGATTTTACTCTTCCTTTCCTAGACTACCACCAGTGGCTCAAATGCCACCCCTTCAGGAAGTCTCTGACCTTCTGAGACATATTGTTTTTCATGGTTGGCACTCAGTTATGAAGCCAATTAATGTTGTTTCCCACCACACTGTGAAGCAGGAAGATGGTGTCTATTTAGTCCTCTACTACGTACTAGGTACTCAAAACAGTGAATGTTTAAAGACTTTTAAAATCTAACTAAAGTCTTGTTACCTGTATAAAGCTAATTATGATAACATGTTTTATTATACATTTGAACAACTTTCAGTAAGACAAGTTTAAAATATCAGTATGTTAATAAAACTATTCCAGTTTACAAAAGAATACTTTTCTGCACAGATTTTGATGGAAGAAAACATGTCTTTAGGTATGAAGTTCACCAATTACAATTTAGTTCTAATATAAAAAATGGGGGGCGGGAAGTCAGAGGGAAGTTCAACCCAGCAATAAGAGGTTCAGACAGAAGGAAACACCTCCAAACAGACTTTCAATTCACTTCAGTATTTTTCCAGAATTTCTACTTTCATATTTGTTGTGATTTGATGATTTTACAAAAAATTATGTATCATCAATTCTCTCTTCCCTAAATGAACTCATTAATGTGAAAAAATTAATTTGTTACCTTTTCCTTACAAAGGTTATTTTCATAATGGTTTTTTTAAAAAAGCTTCTCATAAAACTTTATTTTGCCAGTGCCCAGCTACTTATTTTCAAAATCCTAAGTAATAAATTTAACTATTGAAAAAATTGTTCTTAAACCCTCAGATCAGTTTCAAAACCATCTTCTCTTGAAGTTCAGTTCACAAAACATTCTTAAGTTGTTCATTCCAGAAGTTCTGGGAATGGAAGACATGGCCACATTATATGTAGTGGTCTATAATTTTACTTGATAATCCTACACATTCATCACCACACTAAAGACTTTGAGAAATCCTGTGGAGAAAGTCCTGTGTTCTCCACGGGCGATCCTGGACATGGAATTGCTACTCTGCAGTACGCCCTCTTCCACACAGCAGCTCTGATAACGACTTGCTCTAAAACAAATGCCACCCTGCCTCATCACTTAAAGAGTAATGTCTCTCCTACAGGTAGATCATTCCACCAACTTCTGGTTAAAACATACTCAGTGAACCGTCTGAATCTTACCAATAATTTTGAGAGAACTGTTATTCTATTTAACACTTTCTATCTCCATACAATCTTCAGAGATTACAAATAGGCTTCACAGAAAATTACTTAATTCCTTTTAGAGACAAAACACAATGGAAATCATTTTATGCTTTCAAATAAAACCTTCTACATTTAATTGACTCAGTTAAGCACAAGCTGCATGCAAAGAAAAGCTAACTGTTTCAGGTTTGAGTGGAACTGAAGTAACTCCATCATGTTCTTGGCTGTCTAAAGAAAGCAAGTCAGTGATGCCAAAGGGACGAGACTGGTTAAACACCACCTTTCCTCCTAAACTACCAGGAGCTCAGACACATACAAATTTTATGGCAAGTAATCTAAAACTCGTCTAAAAATGATTAACTGTTATTCTATCCAACAAGAAAACCAATACAGCAGCTCTATCTAATTAGTGAAGTCACCAGATATCCTCATGCAGCTCTGGTGTCAAATGACAGACTTCTGCAAAGTTCTGTAGCACAGCTTGTACTAATCACACATTTTAAAGGTAGCTTTCCACTTTAAACTATTTATACAATCCTTATTGTTCATGTTAAAACTAAGAATATAAAACAGAATTAGCCCTAGGGACAAGCTGTAATTTTACTTTATCAAGTTATCTAACACTATAAAATATAGCTATTGAGAGTCAAACAAAAACACCATAAGCATTTTAGGATACTTTGTTTAGTTTGAGACAGTGTCTCACCATATTTCAGGCTGACCTTGAACAGGCTCAGGCTTAAGTGGTCAAGTACCTCAGCCCCTGAGCAGTTGGCATTAACTGGCATGTGCCAGTATACCTGGTCCTTCCAGTAACTTTTCCAGGTCCCTTGAATTTTGGCAAAATAGAGTTTATTTTAAAGTCTGCAAATATTGTTTATGCTTTCTATTAAGGTTTTTTTCCCTTTAATTGCTTTGTTTGTTTGTTTGTTTTGGTCTTCACTAAAGAAGAAAAACATTTTGTTTTTTCAGTTAGAAATAAAATTTTAGAAAACTCTTGTCTTACATATCTGAGCTAATTATATGGTCTAGCAGTTGCAAAGTCTTACTAAAAAGAAATAATCAGAAATAAGCAAGTTTAGCTAGGCCAAAGTAAAAAAAGAAATACATAATTGATAGCCCTAATAATGGTGACTTTCCTTGCACTTTTTGTCAGTAGAGTCTCATTAAGTTTTTTTGTAAATATTCTCACTCAGTCCAAACTTTCCCAACATTTTACTAAACTCATTAACAGTCTAAATTGTGGCTCACAGTGCCAGATATGGCCACTTTAGAAATAAAATATCTGATGATAAAATGGCCTTTTATTATCACTTTTTTTTTGTTATGTGGGCATTTAAAAAGTCACTAACAAAAATAACTTAAAACACATATTTTAAGTTTTACATGTAATTTGGAAGAAATAGATACCATTCATTTGAGAAAACAATAGTTGCTACATATACAAGTGAGACCTCTTTGAATCACAAATGTGGCATCAAAAGCTTCACATTTTTGTATTTTTGTTTGCTACTGGGGATTGAAACAAGAGGCCTCCAGCTTGTTAAGCATTCACTTTACTGAACTACAGGCCCAAGCCCACATTTTCTCAACCTAAATGGAAAATTCAAAATAAGAGCTCTTGCTGCATTATGCGACTTAAGAGCAGATGTTTGCCTTTTAAAACAATTCACACAGAAAAACGCAAGCAAAAGGTCTGCTACTTTACAAAAATAATGAGAACAAAATAATGAAAAAATAGTAGAAGTTACAAAAAATAAATTCCTATTTGAATTCCTGTTTCTTAACTAGTTCTATCATACAGGTTGCAGCATACTGTAAGATAAAATACAAAGGATATTGGATATTTGAGATTCAAGCTGCACTTGCCAGGATAGTTTTCACCTGAGTCGCAGAGTGTATGCCAGTGCAGTTACGCTTTTACGAGTAGAAGTCAAGGCGTATTGGCTTTGATTGCTTAATGTTGTGTTAAGTATTTGTGTAAATGTATATTTAATATTTACTACAGTTGGGGGTTCTCTCAACACATGAAAGCATGAATTGAAAAGATGTTCATTTTTCTTGTTATGCAAGCACATAAAGCTGCATTTTTAGTTTAAAATGTTTCTGACAATTATATTTTCACATTTTTGAGTATTTTAGAACAGAGGTTTTTTTTTTTTTTTTTATTAAAAAAAACCAGATACTTTTATATATATTCCCATGAAATAAAATTGCACTCTGAGGAATTATACAAGTTCACTAAAGAATATCAAATTAATCATTTCCTCCTATAAATAGTTTATTTATTTGAGTTTAGAAGTTGCAGTTTCAGTACTATTAACAGAAAATACATAACAAAGGTTTCCTAAAGGTGAAAAAAAATAATTATAAATGTTGGAAAAATTGGCCTCATTAACATATTTACAGACTTTTACTTAATACATACTCCTTTGGAAATTACTTATGTGACATTTTTACAGCATTAACATTCCCAAAATCTCTGAGTAATGAGCACTTCAGCTCTGTACTGTCTATAACCCACGTCGAATGCCATGTGATTTCTGAAGTTACGAGCCCCAGTCTCCTGGTCACTCTGACACACTGCTGGCATACTGCTCTGCTCCGTCCCCTAAGGATGCTTCTGCGGAGGAAGTGTCCTTCAGCAGCCTCTTCTCTTTACTCTGCTCTTCCTGAAGCTGCAGAATTATGTTTCGGATCTCTTCTCTTTTTGTTTTCATTCTGGGCGGAGGAAACCAGTTCACCAAGTTCATAGGTAGCTCAAAATTTAGTATTGGATTCTGAAAATAAAGATTAAAAAGTCTATTAGAAAATTATAATGGGTGACATTTTAATTTCAACTATAATAACACTTATAAGTTAGGTATCAGCATCTACGTACTTGTTAGGTTTCACAAACAGGCTACCTACCAGTTAGGCACTTGAGATAAAACAGTATTGGTTTATGAAGCTTACTGTCCAGACTAGAGTCTGGCAAACTACAGTTACTGGGCTGGGTTCTGCCCATACCCTATTTCTGCAATAAATTTCTTTATCAAGTAGAAGCAAATAAATTCACCAACAGTCTGTAGTTGTTTGTATAACAGTACAACTGAGAGCTGCTAGAGTCTCCATAGGTGAAAAACACAAGTATTTGCTCTTAGACCCTGACTAGGAAAAGATGTCAGCATTGTGCTAGATAAAAAGACAACTGACTTTGGCAAATACTATGACAAGAAAGTATGAAGTGCAATGAAAATAAACACCATTGGTCTGACGTTTAAGCAAACGGAAAGTAAGCAGAAGACATGAGAATCCCACTAGCATACCGGACTTGGAAAGTGGCAGCAGGAATGCAGTAATGTATACACGTGACTTTAAAAAAGATTCAGTGGTTCATTCAAATGAACAGTGGTTAAAAAGAAGTCACAGGAATATAGAGTTCTAAGAGAGGTACGTGGAGAGCCATGCTGCAGGATGGGAATGAAGAAGGAATAGCTGAAAGGGTGCTGGAGGTCAAGAAAGCTTTCAATGTAAGGGTAGGGAGGGTATCACATTAGAGACTTGAGAGAGGGTGTGTGTGTGTGTGTGTGTGTGTGTGTGTGTGTGTGTGTGTGTGTGTGTGTGTGTGTGTGTGTGTGTATGGACAGATGATGAAACAGCATCAATCATAGGTGAGACTTGCTAAGATAAAAAATAAGCTAGTGGAGAGGACAGGTTGATCAGAGATGTTCCACAAGCCTGGAATCAATAATTACAATATCCAGAATCAATAATTATAGTATTTTTATATCCTAAAAAGCCTCTAACTTTGGAGTTTTTGTTCCTTAGAATCATTTTTAAGATGAATTATTTTCTTATTGTCTTCATTACAGGAAAGTCAAATACACATTTCATTATTTCATCAGATACAATGAACTGAAACTCACCTCAAAAAAGCTCTCTACATACTGCAGTATGTACACGCCACAGTCGCTGAAGTTGTTCTGCTGCGGAACTTTTGGGTTGGAACCTCTCATAACATCTTTGGAAAAACTTCTTTTGCTTCCTTTTTTAACCTCCCATTCCACTTCTAAATACCTACAAAACACATGTACCAGGAATACACACAGTGTAAATACTACTGCCTCAGCTACAGTATATCAAACAGGTAGCCACAGTTTTGAACTTACTCTCTTAGTATTTTGACAACATTTGACCGAGATGGGCCTCTGAGTGAGTCCATAAGTAGGATACAAGGTCTGCAGATAGAAATAATGAAAAAGTTAAATATGAATTATGGTGTTATGTATGCACAAGAAAATTTAATATAGTATATTAATATGATTAAAAACCTTGAAATTTTCTTTTGTCTCAGTAAATACTCAGGAGGGAAAGTAAACCTTACAGACATAGGAATTTTAGGTATCTATGATAATATTAAACATTATGTTACAGAACAGTTAACTCCAGCATAATAAAAAAAGAACCCTATAAAAGTACTGCATGCACATACATGTACCATGACAACTTGAAGGAACCCTATAAAAGTAAGTATTGCATGTGAGCATGTATATGCACATCCATGTACCATGACAACTTGAAGGGCCAGCTCTCTGTCTCACGATATCGGCTCTGGGAATCATTACTCAGGGCGTCAGGCTTGCCAGCAAATAGCCCTACCTGCTGAACTATTGTAAACTAGTTATTACAGAAAACCAACAGTTAATCCCAAGAATTTGTTTATAATACAATATTTGAACATTCTATGAAACTCAGATCTAATCTTCTGAATTTTAATTTTGTAAAAGTATGTTGTAAACTCAAAATAAATAAGGAAATCCAATGTGCCAAAATAAATCCAAAATGTTAATCTTTTCTCTCTCCCATTCTAGCTCCCCCATCTCTCTCTGCTAAGGATTGAACTCAGAACCTTGAACATGCTAAGCACACATCTAACTTGGGCTCAGTGATCAGGCCTCATACAGATGTCTTAACTATCAGTTATATTTTCTCTAAATATCGATATTTTTCTTTTATAAATGACCTTTGTTTTTCAAGGTCCATTAATGCAGTTTTTGTTAACATTTTCCACAGCAAAGTAAAAGGAGATAAGTATAGTATTAGTACTGTATCACTAAATGGGTTTGGGAGTCTCAGGGGATACTTTAGGACACACATGTAATTCTGAAAATTGGTAAAGACTTCCTTTACTGGGGCTAGAGAGATGGCTCAGAGGTTAAGAGCACTGGCTGCTCTTCCAGAGGTCCTGAGTTCAATTACCAGCAACCACATGTTGGCTCACAACCATCTGTAATGAGACCTGTTGCCTTCTTCTGTTGTGCAGAGAGACACGCAGACAGAACACTGTATATATAATGTATACATACTAAATCTTTAAAAAAAAAAAAAAAGACTTCCTTCATGACTCCCACCTGCACCCTGTCCCTAATGCACACAGTAATGCACAGTCTCAGATACACCAGGATATAAAGAGGGTGAACATCCTCTCTTAGAATTCTGCAAATCTGAGTAAGTCTCTAAATAGGAAACATGCCTGCAGGGTGGGATGGCCTTCAGTCACTCTCTGCCCACTTCAAGTAGCTATGAACTCACATTAACTGCCAACTTCATGTTACTGATTTGATTACATAGGTGTTTTCTTGTCAAATACATTATATACAAAGTTACAGTGGTTCATTATGAAGATATACAAGCACCTATGGGAGTAGGTGCTGGGAAAACTGCAAAGTGAAAACCAGAAATGGCCTCCCTGTTGCATCTCTGGACAGTATACCCACTTTTCTTCCCTGACCCTGAGAACACCTGTGAGTTTTGCTTAAGTAAGATCTGTTCTGTTGTGTTTTATTCTATGACTCAAAAAAAAAAAAAAATCACACAGCTTGGGGATGTAGTCAAGGCTTACTGTTTACAGACAGTAGGCTTTAAATGCCACTGTCCTATTTCTGAAGTGTAGTTTTCATCAGCAAGGAGTCCATCATCGCTGCTATCATCCTGTAAAAGTAAAAGACAGTCTTTGGTTAATTATTAAGAATCTGCTATTGAAATAACTAATAATATAAGAAGAAATTAGCACTGCATACAAAACTCCTTCCAACATAATAGCAGCACTTTTAGTAAATTGATCTAACGCTAGAGCACTGACATTAAGGGTTTATTCATTATCACTGTGTGTATGGAGTGTCTATGCATGTGAGTATGAGGCGGAGGTCAGGGACAACTTTGTGTGCTTAGTTTTCTCTACTTCCTGACACAACTAAGGCTGGCAGCCAGTCCTTTGCCCAATACGCCATCCCACCAGGCCTTTAGTGTCTTCAGGAGTTTACATACGGTGAAGATGGGTTTTTGCTAGTTTTCCTGTGAAATGAAAGTTATGTCTGCATAATCCATTGCCTTATAATAACATGGCTGGAAAATACAAGCTCTCTTCCTTTCCATCATACAAACATTCCCATATGATGTGCAGTGTAGTGCTAAAAGATATAGTCCAAACTTCTGATATTTGTATCATGGAAAGTCTATATAAATTGCTTAAATGTAAAAAAACTTCAAAATCGTAATCATATCTCAGCTCACATTTTTAAATGGAAATACTGAGGCCTACACCATTTACAGTCATGAGCACTTAAGTCTCCTTTTGTTAGAGCAGTTATCTGTTACATAAACTAATGAGTATCTTACAGCTATATATTACAAACTAGGGGATAACACACAAAACACACTCTCACCAGATTGAGCAAAAAGGAAAACTGTGCAGCATAAAGCATAAAATATCTTCACTACTAGGTGAAGAACTGACGAGCATGAAAACCAGAACCCCGAGTTTGATCTCAAGGACGCATGTGGAGAAAGGAGAGAAACGACTCCTGCAAATGTGTTCGGACTCCCACATGAACACTGTGGGATGTAGGTGTGCCCCCAATACAAAACAAACAAATAACTTTTAAAAAGAAAACTTAAGAAATAGTATGTTACAGTTTCTCAAGGTTTTTTTTTTCATAGTTTAAATAAACTATTTCTGAAACTATCAGTTTCAACAACACTAATGCATGTGTCCTGGGAACTTCTATCTAGAAAATTGGCTTTGTTTTGAAATACAACCCAAATCTGGAAGTCACTCTGTTTCTGTCACTAGTTGAAGGAACAGTTTCTAAGATTCTGTAACAGATTCTTAAAAAGCAACTGAGTTTACCGGGTCATCCTGATCCTCTGAGAAGTCAATGAGTTCATCTTCAAGCATTTTGCCACCTTCAGCTGACTGATCCCCGTAGTTTAGTCTGATTTTGCTTAAGGCATCTGTATCAACAGGAAACACTGTATGATAAAAAGCCCACGCTGTCACTTGGGAGGCAGAGGCAGGTGAAGCTCTTTGAGTTTGAGGCCCCCCTGGTTTACAGAGTGAGTACCAGGACAGGCTCCAAAACAATACAGAGAAACCCTGTCTCGAAAAACCAAAACCCAAAAACAAATCCAGTACAAATAAATACTCACTTCTGCATGAATCTGAAAAATATATGCCAGGCAGTGATAGTGCACACCTTTAATCCAGCACTCAGGAGGCAGAGGCAGGTGGATCTCTGTGAGTTCGAGGCCAGCCTGGTCTACAGAGAGAGAGAGTTGCAGGACAGCCTCCAAAACAATACAGAGAAACCCTGTCTCGAAAAACAAAACAAAAATCAAAATTGTTAAAAATAAATTATTTTGCTAAAAGAAGCTTGTCAAACCAAGTATCTAACAGAAATTTAAAATTTACACAAAAATTGAGTCAAAGATTTTATCATATTAACATTTCAAAAATTCACAAATAACTTTTAGGTATTTTATGAGGAAAAGTTTACTTCAACCTAAGTTATAAAGTGTTATTTTCTTAATTAATATAAACAAGGTATCTTGAGGAAGAAGATAAATAAAATGTATTCCTGAAAAGATATAATCAAAGTGCTGTCATCAGGAACATACTACTTAAAATGACTAAGCACAAAGGTAAACCATCTGTTGTACACACAATAACCTCTTCAATTTGTCTGTTTCAGATATTGAGTATTTCAAATTTGTTTCAATCTAAAAATCTGTACAAATCCCCAGGCAATTAAAAAGTTAACACAGATTATTTCTAGTAGCAAATCATCCTTATCTATAAAGTACTGTTACATTAATATTTACCTTGCACCCACTAAAGTATTTCAATACCATACAAAAACAATACAGCCCATGGCCACACCACTCTGCATGTGTCTGATTCTCACAGGAACGTAGAAGTTAAGCAGGGTTAGGTTTGGTTAGTACTTGAATAGGATAAAGCAATTTAAATAATTCAGCTTTTAAGAAGTATCTTTCTTTCAGGCTGGGTATAGTGGTGCACACCTTCAATCCCTGCAATCAGTTGGCAGAGGCCAGGGGATCTCTGAGTTTGAGGCTGATTGGTCTGTACAGTGAGTTCTAGGTCAGCCAGGGCTACATAGTGAGGTCCTGTCTAAAGAAAAGAGGGTGGGGGAGGGGGGAGAAGACTCAGCAGCTAAGATTAAGAGCATATTACTGCTCTTCAGAAGAACCCAGGTTCAATTCCCAGCACCCACATCAGGAGGCGATTCCAGCTCTAGGAGAATCCTACACTTTCACCTCTGGCCTCTGGGGGCACCTACACATACCCAACACACACATATATATTTAAAAATGGTTTTAAAAATAACAAAAGTATCCTTCAAAAAGCATTTATATATTTACTCTGTGTGTGTGTGTGCGTGTGTGTGTGTGCGTGTGTGTGTGTGTGTGTGTGTGTGTGTGTGTGTGTACATACATACTTCTCTGTGTCTAGATCAAAGCATAATCCTTAGGAGTCAGTTCTCTCTTTCCAACATCTGGGTTCTGGGGATTGAATTCAGGTTACTAGCATTGGTGGCAAACGTTTTTTACACAATGAGCCATCTCAGCAGCCCAATATCTACATATTTGAGTGTGATTGTAAAATTTAAACCTACATATTCCTCATGTCCTCCTTCTGGTCAGTTATTATACTTAATGTCCAGATGAAAAAACCATGAGTAGTGAACTCATTCATACTTTACCTTCCAACAGCTAACTTTAAAACTGCATACAAAATCCTATTTATTTACTGTGGCATATTATTTGACATTAGTAAACACATCCTAACTACATGGATCAGAGAGTCAAAATTATGCAAACTATTTAAAATACATCTTTTGAATCCACTATATTGCCAGGTCAAATAGAATTTAGCTCCTTAGGCTGTAACTAGGGCACAGACTTTTTCTAAGCTCAACTTTTCATGTGCCATCACTGTAAGACTTGTTAGTCATCCTCTCATGGGTGGGAAAGTCACATTTAGAGACTATCCTCACTGTGTGTGTGTGTGTGTGTGAGTGTTAATCACCTCACCCTAGAGAACTTCATTTGATCTCTTATTAAAGCATGTAAAACTGGTGTTCTAAAAGAAACTATTTTATATTATTGGTAGTACTGAGTAATAGAAAGAGTCTAAATGTTGGTTGTCATAATGATTACATGACTGAATATGTTAATAAAACTTAAGCGACACCCATAAAATGAGTTAATGTTATTGTAAGTAAATTCTACTCAGTAAGTCTGACAAGAGAAAATACATAACTTTAACAATTCTATTTTGACCTCTTTTACTCTTTCATAATATATCAGTACATACCTGGATGATGTATAGAATTTAAACATTCATCCTGTAGGTCATTCTCACTTTTAGTTCTATCAGTAACTTCCTGGCATGCAGATTCTCTGTTATTTGAGTCTTCATTTTCACTTATAGCATGATTTTTTTTTTTCACACTACATTTCACAGTGTATGTGTTTCTCCGATAACAAGGCTCACTTTCTTCCTGTCCAGCACTGGACTCAGTGACAGTCAAGTAATGCTTTCTGTTTAGCATCTTCTTAATCACAGGCTTGGCAGAAGGGGTCTGTGAACAACTGTCCATTTCACTGGCAGAAGAAACACAACTGTCCTGTGCAGCTGAACTTTTTTGCATGACTGCATTTTCATGGTAATGAGGGTTAGGTTCATATTTTGGTTTTTCCAAACCAGGAAAACAAACAACAGCCAAAAACCAGTGTGCACTGTAAAAACAAACAACACTACTAAGCATCATTGGAAAACCTCATCATGGTTGTCAATAACTATCAACTGAAATGCTATTTTTACAAGTTGGTGAGTAAGCACTGATCTTTTAAAATCTTGTATTGTTTGTAACAGTTCTCACTTGAGTGGCTAACATACCATAATGACAACTAATTTTTGTGTGTGTGTGTTGTTAGGATTATGTACCTTACATTCATTCTTGCAAACAATCTTTTGAATCTTTGTTTCTGAAATGAAAGATCCATTCAAATTGTTTTATCATGTCTCTTTCTATTGTTTGGAAAGGCTTATTATAAATAGCATATAACTAAATAATCCTTAGTCTTATACTATGTTTAAGTATAAATACATTAAAATTAAGGGGAAATGGCATATCTAATCTAGGCATTGTTATAAAATCTCAAGTATTAGTAAGTAGTTTTAGCTATCAAGTGCAAGTTCATGATGTTGCTATATTCAGGCATCACAGCTATCAATTGTATAGTCCACTAGAAAAAAAAAAAAAGACATATGGTATAGCCTAACAGTCACTAACAACTTCCTATTTACTAGCCATAGGGCTATGTATCAGCAGGCAATGGATAGGCTACAGATGAAAGAGGATGTATTAGTGGAGTACAATATCTTCCAATCTTCCATGCAGTATGATTTCCAATAAATATCTTCTCAGTAGAAAACACCTTTTCATTTACTGCTAGGGATCAAACCCAGGGTCTCTAGCATGTTAGATAAGCACCTATCCTACCAATGAGCTATATCCCCAACTAGAACACACCATTAGGTAAGTCTGTATTTCTTTTTCCGTGGGTATTAGATGACTCTAAGGTAGTATTATGAACAGTGCTATCTCTTCATATGATGACACTCAGTACAAAGGTCAAAGACTGATTTGGGTCTTAGTACTAAAAAAAACGTCAAATGGAGCCTGGTATGATAGTCATTGCCTTTAATCCCAGCACTCAGGAGGCAGAGGTAGAGGCAGGCTGTCTCTTATGAGCTTGAGACCAGTCAAGTTCCAGGTAAGCCAGAGCTACATAGTGAGATCCTGTCTTTAAAAAGAATATCTATCTATCTATCTATCTATCTATCTATCTATCTATCTATCTATCTATCTATCTATATCCCACCAAAAGGCAAGATAGATGAATACTTCTTTTATATTCCTTTTTTTTTTTTTTTTTTTTTTTTTTAGTTTTTTCAAGACAGGGTTTCTCTGTGTAACTTCTTTTACATTCTTAACAATTAATTCTCAGTATATGATGGACTTAGGTCAGTTTAAAGCAGCAAAAACAGTATACCAACACCCTCATTTCAATAACTAAAACATCCCAAGTTTCACCTCAGTTCTGGAAATGTTAGAATGTAGAAAGTTGTGTTTCAAAACCTGACGCTGTAGTCAGGCATGGTGGCAAAAGACTGTATTCTATCACTTCAGAGGAAGAAGAGCCGAGGGTTCAAGGTCACCTCTGGCTACACATTAAGTCTGAGGACAGCACTGGACTACATGAGATCTTGAAAACCAGTATTTATGGTGCAATGTGGCAATTTTCAACTGTAGTCTAACTGCTTTATCAATCTGAAATAATGCCACTATAAGAAGCCATACATTTTCTTTTAACTCACTAAAAACTAGGCAAAATGCCTTTGTTTTCTCCCAAATAAAAGGACAAGCTAAGGCTAAACCTCAAAAATACAGGGCTTTAAATCTGTAGCTTAAACACCCCCCCCCCCAAAAGCCTCTAACTCTATAGACCAGTTCTGGCCTAGAACTCAGAGATCTGCCTCTAGCCAATTAACTTAATCACTGGTATGAGAAAAGGCTAAAAAAACAGGTAATTTTTCTATAGCTGTGCTCTTTACCAAATACTGTGACAATTCTAACAAACAATTTATAAACTTAATTAAAAAAAATCAGCATCATGAGGTTAGAGAAATGGTCATTGGCTAAGAGCACTTATTATTCTGACAGAAATCCCAGGGTTCCATTACCAGCACCCACATGACATCTTCCAAACATTTTTAATTCCAGTGCTAGGTGGTACACATAGATCCAAGCAAACACTTACACATATTAAATAAAAACAAATCTTTAAAAACTAAACATCAGGCTGGGCATGGTGGTGCACGCTTTTAATTCCAGCAATGAGGATGTGGAGGTAAGTGGATCTTTTGAGTTTAAGGAGCCTGGCCTAGAGAGCTAGGCAAGGCAGGACTACACATATAGTGAGACCCTATCTCAAATAACAAAAAACCAAAATCCCAAAAATCATTACTAAAATGAAGCAGATGACAAACTAATGTTGGCCTATCTAGTAACTGGCACATATAAAATATCTGTGGCTTTCGCCTCTTTAAAAAATGAGTAAGATCTAGACATTTTCAGATGGTTTCCATCAACTCATGGGTATGTAGCCCTTTTGCAGAATCCTGCATTGGCCTGCACCTCTGCTGGTTCTCTGCCATGTGTAAGATGACTGGAAGATTAATAGAAACCTTTACCAACAGGTAAAGTGATTAGAGTGGCTCTAAATTGTACATGACTCAAATAATATTTCAATTTAACACTTTTGTTTTTCTTTCTTACAAACAATGTTCATCTTTTTTCTAAGAAGTTTGTGCTACTTTTTATGATAAATTTCAAGAAATCTTATTTTATGCAGAATAAATTAAAACTTGATTTTGAATTTTATCATGCACAACATAATACAGTCTTATATAAGTTGTGCTTTGTAGCTACAACTTATGCTTTGACGTAAAGAGGGTTGAGGTTTCCTAATTAAAGCATGTTACATACGCACGCACACGCATGCACACACGCAGCAATGCTGGGAATAGAAATGGGGGCCTTCCACCAACCAGCCAAGCATCCTGTTACTAAGTTATATCTAGGCCCCAAAACATAGTACTTATTATCTATTTTAAGAGGGGATCTTTTGAGTCAGGGAAGGAATAGAGGAAGAGTAGGGTGAGATCCAGAATAGAGGGAGCCACTATAGGTTTGAGAAGAGATCTGGCACTAGTGAGATTTCCAGAGATCTACAAGGATGACACCAACTGGCAATCTAACCAGTAGTGGAGAGGCTACCTTAAATGCCCTCCCCTGATGAGATTGACAACTACCTTGTATGCCATGCTAGAGCCTTCATCCAGTGGCTGATGGAAACAGAGGCAGACAACCACAGCTAAACACTGAACTGAACTGGAAACCAGTTGCAGAGAGGGAGGAGTGACAAGCAAAGGGCTTAAGACCTGGCTGGTGAAACCCATAGAAACTGCAAACCTGAATAAGGGGGAGTTTCTTGGACCCCAGACTGATGGCTGAGAGGCCAGCATGGGTCTGATCCAGACCTCCTGAATGTGGGTGTCAGTGAGGAGGTCTCAGCATTCTTTGGGGCCTTGGGCAATAGATCAATATTTATCCCTAGCATCCAAATGGACTTTGGGAGCCAATACCACGTGGAGGGATACTCTCTCAGCCTAGACACATGGGGGAGGGGGTAGGCCCTGCCCCAGGATGATATGACAGACTTTGGATATCCTCCATGGAGGGCTTCACCCTCCCTAGGGAGTGGAGTTGGGATTGGGTGGGAGGTAGAGGGGGTTGGAGGGCGGGAGAGGAGGGGAAGAGAGGGAGCTGGTATTGACATGTGAAACTAGCTTGTTTCTAATTTAAATAAAAGACATTACATAAGAAAAAGAGGGGATCTTACTATGTTGTCTAAATTAACTTCAAATTCTTTTGTTGAAGTGATCTTTGTGCCTTAAACTCAAGAAGCCATGACTACAGTCACACATGTCAAAAACATTTTTAAAAAGGGTTTGTTCATATTACGAAGTGAATTTACTTTACAAAAACAAGTGGATGGATAATTAGTACATTCAAAACATAAATCTAGTATGATACAGTAAGGCTTATTACATATAAATAATCCTACATAATATTAATTTAATCACCATTCCAATTATAAAAAGATAAAAATGGCCAAAGTAAGGCATGATAAAAATGGCCAAAATAAGGCATTCTTCATTTGTCTAAGCAGAGTACAAAAATAAATCATAATGCATACTAGAATAAGACTTTATATCTTATACTTTGTCCAGTAAGATAAAATTAGAAGAAGCTGTCCAATATACTCTACAAAATTCTGTTGGGTATTTTTTTAAGACAGGGTTTCTCTGTGTAGCGCTGGTTGTTCAAGAACTCACTCTGTAGACCCAAGCTGGCCTCAAACTCAGAGTTTACCTTCTCTGCCTCCTCAGTGCTGGGATTAAAGATGTGTGGCTAAAACTCTGTATCTTATGAGTCAACAGAGAACTGTGCTTACTTTCATAAAAGAAGTATTTTTAGTTCATATAGAATTTTACTCACGCTTCATTAAGTGGTACAAAAATAAAATCCTTCTCAAAAATATCTACATGCCGGGTCCATGTTTTTACTCTCCCATGTCGTTTTTGTTGTATTCTGTAAGACAAAGACAATCACTTTCTAAAGTGTCATTACAGTTATGTTACAACTTATATGCAGTGACTTAAAAGTTAGAACATTCAGCTGTCATACCTCACAGTTTCACTTAATGTCTTAACAAGTTGAGGAAAGAAGACAGTATCTTAAATTAAAAGAATGTGTTCATCTTTATTTTACGTGTATGAGTGTTTTGCCCACATATATATATGTAGCACTGTGTCTGGTGCCCTCACATCAGTGGCAGGCATTGGATTCCCTAGCCCTCTCAGCAAGAGCAATGAGTGCCCTTAACCCCTGAGCAATCATTCCAGCCCACGAACAGAGTATCTCAGATGAAGCCAGAAAGGGAGGGCATGAAACCTATAGTGAAATCTACAGGGTAGGATATTTAGTTCATTTTACAACATTCTGGGAAATCACAGTATTTCTCCTGGATGAATTTCTTCTGTCTCTACCATTTTACTGGTGCAGTGTTGCTATTAGCAACTATACTGAGATATTTATCTAAGCATGACTTACTGGTAAACGAAAGGAAGAAAGTAAGTAAAACATGCAATGTTATGCACAATGTCAAAAATCTACCTCTAGTCTATGATATAAAATTAGGAACTTTGTAGAAAGTAAAAAATAGGATTTATACCTGGCATGGCAGTCCCAACTCAGACATTTCAGTGTAGTTAGAAAATGTGCCCACTCTTGAATCTTTTAACCAATTAAAGTTAAGCCTAAGACCTGAATGTCATCGTTATATACAGAGTAACTGTAAAGAACTTGGGTGTGATAGCAGAATAGAACCTCCTTAACTATTTTGAGAACAATCATCCAGATTAAGGGTGGGGATTGCAGCCCAATGGTAAAGACCACCTGTTTGCCTAGCACAAGCAATGCTGTGGCTCAGTTCCCAGCCCACCAAAAACAAAAAACAAGAGAAAACCAAACAGATTCAAGTTTCCTCTCCGCATCACTGAACACACTCAGAGCAAAGCACAACAATGGCAGTCTCATAACCACCTAAGAAATATAAACAGTTCTATTTGGGCCCCACTGTTCTAGGCATTAGACCCATAACCTCTGAACTCTAGGTATTCTGAAACCAGCAGAAAATTATTAAGGATATTGTTTTAATAGAATGGAAACAGAAATACATGATGTTTGTTGCTCAACAGAAGTAAAATTATTTTTTAAAAGTTACCCCTTAAAACCTGTGCAATATAATTAAGGCAGCCGAACATAAATCCATGAGAAAAACGACAGAACTCAGCTGGCATGCTTTTCCCAGTGGTACACTCAAGAAACAAGCATGTGAATACAGATCTGTGGAGCTTTTGCTGGGCTTTGATTTCAAATATCACGGGCCCTTCATTTTGCATCCATGAATTCAACAAATTGAGGACAGGAATTATTTTTGAGGGAAAGTATACCCATAAGACACATATGGACCCTTCTCAAACTTGTCATTACTCACCAAAGAACACAGCCCAACAAATATCCAATGTGTTACACTACAGCACGAGTATTCTATAAAGTACTGGCAGAATATGTATAGGTCAAACGCAAATACTACAGCATTTCATCTACAGCACATGAATGTCTGTAAATTTGATACCTCATGGGAGATATGGAAAACTAATACCCAAGGATACCATGGGATAGCTACTGAATGAATTGTTGAGATTTGACTTACGACAGGTTAGTTGTCTCAGCACTTCTCCTCTCTCTCTGGTTAAGGCGTTTATAGAAAAAAGAACTGAATATATGAATTCGGTCAGCATCTTCTTTCCTCAGTTTTTCAAGCACCAAGTATCTATTTTAAGCAAAAACAAGGTTCATATAATGGATCACAGTTCACTCAATAGACAACAATCAAGCAGTGAGATACATTTATTCAGACACCATAATCACCATTTCTAAGAAATGAAGTTTACTTCACATACCAGATACAATAGTCACCAAAATACCTTTAGGCAATGAAAAGTATTTCATATATTTTTGTATGTGTGCTTGGGGCCCAGAGGGGCCAGAAGAGAGTACTGGATCCCTTGGAACTGGAGTCAAAGACAGCTGTAAGCTACCATGTGGGTGCTAAAAACTCATCTGCAAAAACAGCAGGTAGTCTTAACTGCTAAAGCATCTTCCCAATCTCTAAACCCAGGCCTTTAAAGACATTAAAGTCTCATCTATCACTCTATTATAGCTTTGACTAGCTGGCCAGCTAGTTCTGCAGTTCTGTTTGTCTCTGCTCATCCTCCCCTGGTGCTGAGGTCACAGGCAAGTGCAGGCAACTGTGCTTTGTACCCAGGAGTTGGGGATTCACGTTGAGGTCTCTTGCTTCCAGAGCAAGCACTCTTATCCACTGAACCATCTCCCCAGTCCCAAGACCCCTTTTCAAATAAGTAAAATAAGAAGTTGGAGAGACACCAGCAGTCTAAACGTGCTTCCTTCTCTTCCAGAGGACCCCAGTTCAGTTTCTAGCAACTACTTGGGCAGCTCACAACTCCCCATAACTCCAATTCCAGGGGATCTGACATTCTTCTGGCTTTGGTGGGTACTTATGCATACACACACTGTTAAAAATACTGTAACAAAACCCCACAGAACAAGAAAACTGTCCTTTTATTTCACTTATAGAACATCATTAGAGATACTAACAAAAACTTAAAAGCATGCATGTATTTTCCTTTATTAACTGTGTATATTTTATATCAGAGGTTTGTTTATTATGGGACAATCTTTTTGTACACTATGAAGATATGTCTTTGTCAAGGCACCTTCTGATTGGTTTAGTCAAGAGCTGAATGGCCAATAACTAGGCAAAGACTTGTGGACAGAGATAGGAACTCCAAGAAGAATCAGAGAGGCAGAGATTGAGATCAGCCAGCAAGACGCGAAGGAAACTGGCCATACTGTATGGAGGAGAGATAAAGAGCCACATGGCCAAATGTAGATTAAAGAGCTAATTGGGAACAAGTCTAAGCTAAGGTTCAGCTTTCATAATTAATAACAAGTCTTCATGCCATTACTTGGGAGCTGAGAGTCCAAAAAAGTTAGGCAACATTTTTTTTTTCCGAGACAGGGTTTTCTATGTAGCTTTGTAGACCAGGCTGGCCTCAAACTCACAGAGGTCTTCCTGCCTCTGCCTCCTTCTTCATTATATAAAATTTAATTGGAAACTTAACTTTAAATGTGAGTGCTGAATAAAGTCAGGATTACAAACTAAGTTTTTAGTATAGTACAAAACTTAAGATTATTTAATTATGAAGCACAAACAATAACAAGAATATCAGCGGTCAGTTGGCAGAGTGCTTGCTTAGTACACATGAAGCTCTAGGTTTATTCTGCAAACAGCAAACAAACAAGTTTTCAGCTCCTTGCTGGGTGTGGTGGCACACTCCTGCAATCCCAGCAAGCAAGGTCAAAAGCCTAAGGTCATCCTCAGCTACAAAGTAAGTTTGAGGCCAGCCTGGGATATATGAAACTCTGTTGCAAAGTAATAATAATAGTAATAATAATAATAATAACCCCAAAATACTAAATACAGACTTAGAGAGTTAAAAGTAAAAGAAGGAAATGCCTGCCATGAAAGTGAAAAACAAAACCAAACCGTCTCTACTGTCAACAAAGCAGACGTAAGAACAGGAAGATCAGGGATAAGAAAGTGTATCATATAATGATAAAGGTTAATTCTCCAAGATATAAGAGCATATTTTCCTACCAATGGAACTTCAAATTACAGTTGGTTTTAAAGACAGCACAACTAGAGATTTCAACAATCTTTTATAATAATTTTATAGAACAATTAGGCATAAAATCTGTAAGGATTTCACATATGCTATCCAAGTCAAGCTGAGCTATAACCCCATCCAAACATCATTAAAAATGTTATTCATGCTTTATGTTTTGTGTGCAGGAGAGTGCTGGTGCCAGGAGGTCAAAAGAGAGTGTCAGACCCCTTGGAGGAGCTGGAGTTACATGCCTTTTCCTTCCCAAAGTATAAGGTGAATACTACTAGCAGGCTATTAAGTAAATTTTGCAGGTTTCAAAAATGTTTTGTGTTATGAGATATACTGAAATAAACTAGAAAGCAATCTGCATATAAGTTCAATTTTGTTTCATGTATGTGAGCCCTTTCAATATACATACCAGTAAATATACATAAGTTAGTATTTATGAAAACTGTGCTGGACACTGTCCTTACTACTATGTCAAATATATTACTACTTCATTCAAGTCTTACAATCCTTTAGTCTCATTTATAAATGTGGAAACACAGGCACAATAAAATACTTGAGAAGAGGTTTACTCTTAAGTGTTGGAGTATATTGCAGTGACCAAAATTCCAATCAAGAAAGATTTAAAAGGATATACAATGGCAGAATGGGTAAAGGTTTACTAATAAGTTAGCTAACTTACTTCAAATAAAAGTCGATAATAACATCATTTAAAAACTCTCCTTCACTTAGACAATGCAGGTCCTCATTGGTAACAGAGATGCCTCCTTTAGCTGGAGGTGGTGGATACACTATCAATCTATAATAAAGGAAGAAGAACGCATTACTAAACACAGAAACAGACATTTTTTTAAGTACTTCAAACATAGAAGAATTTTCTCACTTTTCTACAGGGCCAATGAAGATGGTGTGGCTCTCTCCAGCTTCCTCATCATCATCAAAAAACTGCAATTCTTTTTTGCTTCTAAGTTGTATTTTAGATTCAAAGGACACCTAGCAGAGAAAATAACCAATTTGTGAAGTTAACTGGTATTTTTCTTTTTTAAATAAAAAGAGCAAGGCAGAAAAGGTGTTACGATGGAAAATGCACACCTATAACCTAAACACTCAGGAGATGTGAGCAGGCTCACTGCAGGCTTCAGACAGCCTGGTCTCCAAATGAGTTTGAGGGCAGTCAAGGCTATACAGCAAGACTCTGCCACAAAATAAATAAGTATATATTCAGCGACTGAGAAGCAAACAGCCAGGAACAGGGCTGCTTTCACTTGTAGTTCCCAGACAATATGTAATAATGGCTTTCCAGTTTCTACTATTCATATTGAATCAGACTAGAAAGATTATGAATAACAACTGAAATAAAACAAACCCTAAAGTTGTTGTTGTTTTTCTGAAAGTAGTGGAAACCTACCTTAGTTCAAAGGTTAGGCAGCCTGCAGGAAGTGGAGCACAGGCACTGAAAACATACCATTAAGTGAGCGTAGGAGATACTAAAGGGACCCCTGAGTCCATGCTACTGCTCTGTGGTTTTATCTCTATAAGAGAGGCAGGATTTCCCCTCCCCACTTCCCTGACACCCACTACATGTATGAGATCTATTTCATGGAGGTAGATATATAGCCTAAGAGAGATGAAGAATAATTGTCTAAGACAGCAATAAAAAGAAAAGCTTGTCCTATCCCTTAAAGTGGGTGTGGTTTTGAGACTAGCCTGGTCTATATAGTAAGCCCTAGGCTAGTCAGAGCTACAGAGTGAGACCCATCTCAAAAATGAATTGGTAAGAAAAAATTTTTTTCAGCTGGACACAGGTGTAATTTCAGAACCTAACACATGCACAGCCAGTTTGTGGTCAGCTTATAAAGCAAGACCCTGAAACAAATGAACAAACCCTATCAAACTATGCCATGAGGAGCCCACATTTCTAAGTTTGTAGCCAGGTTGAGAGATTTATTGCCAATAAACTGAGCAAACCTCAATACTCAAAACTAGTAAAACCCAATAGCTGTAGAAAATGGTACAGTTCTATTATGGCCTATGGTTCACACAGCTTGAGAGTTACCTAACTCTGAGGCACTTTTTGACAAAGTCAGAGTATATCCTTTACTTCCAGTGTTGTCAATTATGTTAAAAACAAATGTGTACTATGCACAGGGGACCTAAGCCTCAGCTCTAGGACACAGGATAACAATGAATGAGCAGTGTCTGTATATGTATGCTCAGAATGAAGTACAGAAAGAAAGATGGGAGAAAAAGAAAAGAACATTGTGGAAAAGAACTAAAAAAGATCCCAAAACTTGTATCAAATGCTGTTTTAAATTTAATTTTAAAATGGAATTTTTGAAGTCTACCATTAAAATGAGCAATATTAAAATATGTAATTTTAAAATTACTCATTATTATTGAGGGTGTGGCTCAGTGGCAAGGTATCTGCTTAGCATATGCAGAAGCCCTGGGTTTGATCCCCAGCATCACAAAAAACAAACAGAATTACACATTGTTAAAATTACTATAAGATTTTGAAATATAATTACAGTTTTCACTTTGTTCTCTTTTTGCACACAATTTCCTTTGATGCTCTCTTCATAGCTTCTTGTACAGGCAACAAGTCTGCTATTGGCTTCTTCAAAAGGAATTTTCGCAAAAAAGTTGGAAACATTATTCTTTATACCAATGTCAGTAATGATACTTTCAAAGACCACATTTGCCTGAGGATCAAGGCCAGTTTGAAAAATTAAAATAATGTACTGTTCTTCTAAACCTGTAAAGAAATAAATATAACTATAAGGCTGAAAGAAAAAATATGTAACAAACCATTTTAGAACATATCAACAAGTGATGGGTATGGTGACTTGTGCCTTTAATTCCAGCACTTATAAACTGAAGGCAGGAGGATCGCCAAGAGTTTGTGGAAAGCCTGGGCTACATAGTGAATACAAACACACTCTTTCTGGGGGGAGGGGGTACGTTGAAGAGATAATTCAGTCAATAAAGTGCTTGCCACCCAAGCATGAGAAATAACCTGTTTGATTCCCAGATCCACATAAAAAGCTGGACATGGTGGAACAGGCTTGTACTCCCTGTGTGGGGAGACAGAAGCAGGCAGATCCATGGTTTGCATACCCACCAGTCCAGCCTACATGTAAGTCTCAACGGCAGTGAAAGACAGTCTCAAAAGTTGGACAATACCTGAGGTTGACCTTGGGCTTCCACATCTGTATATGCACACATACTTGCACACACATGTGCATTTGCACAAACAAGTAACAAGAGTATCAACTATTTCCTAGGTGATTATACGTTCTGGAATATATATCCATAAGAGTGTTTAGTACATAGGGGACACACATTAATACTGGAAAAATGAGCAGTGTTACCTAGAAATGTTAAGTTACCAAAACAAAGGAACCAAATCCAGCAGTAGCACATTAACAAAGCTATCTTAAAAAATGTAAACAATTTGTTTCTTCTAAAATAGCAGTTCTCAACCTGTGGGTCATGATCCCACAGGGTTCGCATATCAGATATCCTAGTTATCAGATATTTATGTTATGATTCATAACAGTAGTAAAATTACAGCTGTTAAGTAGTAATGAAATAATTTTATAGTTTGGGGTCACCACAACTCAAGGAACTGTATTAAAGGGTCACAGGATTAGGAAGGTTGACAACCCACAGCTCTAAAAGAATTAAAAACTAATTCATGGTCATAAGTAGATTCCAATTAGCATTTCTGCCAAGAACGATTAAGAAAATGTCAAGTACACAGTATTATCTCCAGATGAGACCTGCAATGCTGGTGCTCACTAATCTGCCAGATTTTACAGTTATATTAGCATTTACTCACTGATAAGCTGAAATTAATGCTAAAATGTGTTGATTTTTTATAAATTATTTTTATTTTGTGTGTGTGTGTTTGCCTTCATGTATGTCACACAGGACTTACGTTTCTGGTGCCCTCAGAAGCTAGAGAACATTACACCTCTTATCCCTGGGGTTACCAATGATTATCGCTGCCATGAGGGTGCTGTGCAACAAAGCCACATACTCTGCAAGGCCAGTGAATGCTCCTGATCTCCGAACCATCTCTCCAGTCAAATGTACTTACCATAGCAACAGCTGTGCTGCTATGGTACACACTAAAGAACCGCACCTTTTCAAAGACCACAGTCTTCTTCCATGTACTTCAAAGTTTCCTAGTTACAGCTTCTTAACTTAAGCAGTCACATCAGTGAAATTCACTCTACTTAGTGTTACAGACTTCAGATAGTTTGACTTTTAACCCAATTAGTGAACTTTCTAAACCATTTAGATAAATTCAGGTTTTATTTTCAGCACTTCTACCTTCTGTGGGCTTTTCCTCAGAGGCTGGCTGCTGTACCCATTCACATGGTAAGTATATTTCATAATGCCAATGAAGTAAGTGATGATTGAGCTGACAACCACAGCTTCAACTTCTCACGATGGACTGATAAAACCTTTCACTTTCCAAACACTCCTATTCTGCTATCCAGCAGACCTTTTATCTTAGTTGTAATTTGTCTACAAAACTTACTTGTTAACCTGTTCATTCCTTTATAATCATTCCAAACTTTCTCTTCTTTATTCATTTGCAGCTGCATGCTCAACTTTTGATAAATTGGTGGTACTGCCTGGAGAAACACTACTGGTAATTTCCGGACATTACACCATTCACATTTAGTTAGATCAGAGGTATTTAAAACAATCTCTACAGGATCACTTTCTGGTCCTAAAAGGAAATGAAAAAGGAGTAAGATTTTAAACTGGCAAACCACAAATGGAGGAAATGCAAGCTTAAAATTAGCCATTTATCACCCATGCATGGTAGAGAACTCCTTAAATCTCAGCACTAGGGAGTTAGAGATAGGCAGTTCGAGGTCGGCCTGGTTTACGGAGCAAGTTCCAGAACAGCTATGGCTGTTATATAGAGAAACTCTGCCTTGAAAAACCAAAAAATAAAAAAACTTCATTTGAAGCCAGGAGAGGGAAAGAGAGAGAGAGATGTCATCAGCAGTGAGTGAGCAAGAGGCCCAGTATCAACAAAAGCAGCAGCTTCCTTAAACTATCTTTAGAAGTGCCTCTGGTCGTGCTAGGGATAGTGCCACAGGAGGTCCAGGTCACGCCAAGAGACAGCATCAGGACAGTGACACAGAAACTATCCAGTCATCTCAGCCTCAGCCTCAGCTCCGACTGCACATACAGAGATGATTACCAGAGTCTGGTCCCACATACACTGAGAGGAGAGGCTATCTAAACCTTGGGTCCATCAACACCTGAAGGAATTGATCATTGATGGCTCAACCCTGCCTGCACCTGAAGAAGTGTTCAAGAGAGCAACAGCCCCCAACTACATCAACTGCAGGAAGAGGGACCCTCTGAAGAACAGGTTCTACCTATATTGACTGTAGAAAGTGATGGTTAGATTTGACAAGGAAGAATACACCCCACAACAAAAAGAGCTATATTGCACCACCAGAAACTAGTGATTCTACAGCAACAAGACCTGAATATCCCAACAAAGATAAAGCAGAAGAAAACAACATTAAAAATAACTTTATGAAGATGATTGAGCCCCTTAAAGAAATGAAAAATTCCTTTAAAGAAATGGAGGAAAACACAAATAAAAAATTGAAATAAATCAACAAATCCCTTAAAGAAAACAAACAAACAGGTGAAGAAAACGGTTCAAGGCTTAAAAAGTGAAATAGAGGCAATAAAGAAAACACAAACAGGCTGGGCACTGGTGGCATACACCTTTAATCCCAGCATTCAGGAGGCAGAGGCAGGTGGATCTCTGTGAGTTAGAGGCCTACCTGGTCCACAGAGTGAGTTCCAGGACAGGCTCCAAAACAATATAGAGAAACACTGTCTCTCCACCACCCAATAGAAAAAGGGGAGAAAAAAAAAAAAAAGAAAAAAAGACAACACAAACCAAGCAAACTACAGAAATGAAAAATCTGGGTAAAGGATCAGGAACTACAGATCCAAGCATAAACGCCAGAATACAAAAGATGGGAGAAAGAATCTCAGATGTTGAAGATATGATAGAGGAAATAGATTCATAGATCAAAGAAAATATTAAAACCAACAAATTAACACGAAATATCCAGGAAATCTGAGACACCATGGAAAGACCGAACCTAAGAATAGAAGAAGAAGAAGTACAGTTTATGGCATGGAAAACACATTCAACAAAATCATAAGAAAACATTCCCATTCTAAAGAAAGACATACCTATGAAAATACAAGAAGCTTACAGACTGAACCAAACCAAACCAAACCAAACAAAACAAAAAACAACAACAACAACAAAAAACCACCAAAACAAAATCAAGAAAGAATACTAGGAGCTGCAAAGGAAAAAGGCAAAGAAACATATAAAGGCAGACCTATCAGAATAATACCTGACTTCTCCATGGAAATAATGAAAGCCTGGTTGGGCGTTATGCAGTCACTAAGAGACCATGGATGACAGCCCATTATATCCAACAAAACCTTCAATCACCATAGACAGAGAAAACAAGATATTCCATGACAATATCTGATTTAAACAATACCTATCCACAAAACCAGCCCTTCAGAAAGTACTAGAAGAAAACTCGAACCCAAAGAAGTTAGCTATATCCACAAAAACACAGGCAATAGATAATTCCACACCAGGAAATCCATAAGAAAAGAAGCACACACACAATGCCATCAAAACCACAAAATAACAAAAACTAGCAATCATTGATCATTATATCCCTTAATATCAATGAACTCAATTTGCCTAAAGACACAGGCTTCTGCTGCATACAAGAAACCCACCTCAACTACAAAGACAGACATTACCTCACAGTAGAGAGTTGGGAAAAGATTTTCCAATCAAATGAACCTAAGAAACAAGCTGGTATAGCAATCCTAATAATCTAACAAAATAGACTTCAAACTAAAATTAGTCAAAAGAGATGAAGAAGGGCATTTCCTATTCATCACAGGAAAAAAAATCAATCAAGATGAAGTCTCACTTCTGAACATCTATGTCCCAAATAAGGGCACTCTTATTTGTAAAAGAAACATCACTAAAGCTTAAATCATACATCAGGCCCCACACACTAATTGTGGGAGTTATTAACATTCTACTTTCACCTCTGGACAGGTCTCCCAAACAGAAACTTAACAGAGAAAGAAAGGAACTAACAGATGTTATGACTCAAATGGGCCTAACAGATATCTATAGAACATTCTACCCAAACACAAAAGAATATACCACCTTCTTCTCAGCACCTTCTCTAAAACTGGTCACGTACTCAGCAAAAAGAAAACCTCAATAGATAATAATAAAAAAAAAATTGAAATAACACCCTGTACCTCATTGGATCACAATGGCTTAAAGTTAGAATTTAACAACACTAACTTCAGAAAGCCCATGAACTCATGGAAATCGAACAACACTCAACTGACTCACAGCTGGATCAAGGAAGAAATAAAGAAAGAAATTAAAGACTTCCTAAAATTTAATGAAAATGAAGCACCATAAACCCAAACGTATGGGACACAATAAAAGCAGTGATTAGGAGGAAAGTTCATAGCACTATGTGCCTGCAGAAATCACACTAGCAAATTAACAGAACTGTAAGCTCTAGAACAAAATGAAGCAAACTCACCCAGGAGTAGTAGATGGCTGGAAATAATTAAATTAAGGGCTGAAATCAATAAAATAGACACAAAGAAAACAATACAAAGAATCAATGAGACAAAGAGTTGGTTCTTTGAGGAAAACAAAAAACAAGACTGACAAATCTTTATCCAAACTAATCAAAAGTCATATTTAAAAACCTGTACTCCACAAAACTGAAAAATTTAAAGGAAATGAAAATTTTTCTGAATAAGTATCAAATACCAAAATTAAATGAAGATGGGTTAAAGCCAGGCAGTGGTGGCGCACACCTTTAATCCCAGCACGCGGGAGGCAGAGGCAGGCAGATCTCTGTGAGTTCGAGGCCAGCCTGGTCTACAGAGTTAGTTCCAGGACAGCCTCCAAAACAATACAGAGAAACCCTGTCTCGAAAAACCAAAAAGAAAAAGAAAAAGAAAAAAAAAAAAAAAGAAGAAGAAGAAGATGGGTTAAACAAATTAAATAGACCTATAACCCCTAATGAAATAGAAACAGTCATCAAAAATCTCCCAACCAAAAGAAAGCCCAGGCCCAGATGGTTTCAGTGAAGAATTCTACCAGATGTTCAAAGAAGAACTAATACCAATACTACTCAAATTATCCCACACAATAGAAACATAAGGAACACTGCACTGCCAAATTGGCTACAGTTACCCTGATAGCCAAACCACACAAGGACACAACTAAGAAAGAGAATTACAGACCAATCTGCCTCAATAAAATACTGGCAAACAGACTCCCAAGAACACATCAGAAAAATCATCTACTATGACCAAGTAGTCTTCATCCCAGAGATGCATAGTTCAATATATGAAAATCCACCAATGTAATTCACCATATAAACAAACTGAAAGAAAAAAACCCACACGATCATATCATTAGATGCTGAAAAAACCTTCAACAAAATTCAACACCCCTTCATCATAAATGTCTTAAAGAGAGCAGGGATACAAGGAACATACATAAACATAATAAAGGCAATATACAGCAAGCTGAGAGTCAACATCAAACTAAATGGAGAGAAACTCAAGGAAATCCCACTGAAATCAGGAACAAAACAAGGCTGTCCACTCTCTCCATATCTATTCAATATTGTATTCAAAGTTCTAACTAGAGCAATAATTTGTATCAAGGGGATACAAATTGGAAAAGAAGAAGTCAAACTTTCATTGTTTGCTAATGATATGACAGTATACATAAGCAACCTCAAAAAATCTACCAGGGAACTACTACAACTGATAAACCCCTTCAGTAATGTAGGAGGATACAAGATGAACTCAAAAAATCAGTAGCCTTCCTATATACAAATGATAAATGGGCTGAGAAAGAAATCAGAGAAATAACACTCTTTATAACAGCCACAAATAACATAAAATATCTTGGGGTAACTCTAACCATACAATGGAAAGACAGACCTGTATGACAAGAACTTCTAAGTCTTAGAAGAAAGAAACTGAAGACATCAGAAAATGGAAAGCTTTCCCATGCTCTTGGACAGGTAGGATCAACAACAATGGTAATCTTACCATAAGCAATCTACAGATTAATGCGATATCCAGCAAAAAATTTTCACAGACCTTGAAAGGACAATACTCAACTTCATATAGAAAAACAAACAAACAAAAAACCAGGATAGCCAAAATAATCCTATATGAAAAAGGAACTTCTGGAGGCGTCATCATACCTGACTTCAAACTGTACTATAGAGCTACAGTAATGAAAACAGCTTGGTATTGGCATAAAAACAGATATAATTGAATCGAAGATCCTGATACCAATCCACACACCCATGAACACCTGATTTTTAACAAAGAAGCTAAAATTATAAAATGGGAAAAAAGAAAGCATCTTCAACAAATGGTGCTTACATAACTGGATATCAATATTCAGAAGAATGCAAACAGATCCGGATTTATCCCCTTACACAAAACTCAAGTCCAAGTGGATCAAACACCTTAACATAAAACCAGCTGCACTGAACCTCTTAGAAGAGAAAGTGAGAAGAAGCCTTGAACACATTGGCACAGACTACTTCCTAAATATAACACAAGTAGCACAGACTCTGAGAACAACAATGAATAAATAGGACCTCCTGAAACTGAGAAGCTTCTGTAACAAGCAAAACATGGTCAACAAGCAAAACCACATCTGACAAAGGGCTGATCTCCAAAATATACAAAGAACTTAAAAAACTAGACATCAAAAGACCAAATAATCCAATAAAAAAATGGGGTACAGATCTAAAAGGAGAACTCTCAACAGAGGAATCTCAAATGGTCAAAAGACACTTAAGGAAATGCTCAACATCCTCAGTCATCAGAGGAATGCAAATCAAAACAACTCTGAAATACCATATTAGACCTGTCAGAATGGCCAAGATCAAAATCTCTGATGACAGCTTATGCTGGCTGGAGAGGATGGGGAGAAAGGGGGACAATCCTCCATTGCTGGTGGGAGTGAAAACTTGCATAGCCACTGTGGAAATCAGTATGGTGGTTTCTCAGAAAATTGGGAATCAATCTACCTCAAGACCCAGCAATACCACTTTTGGGCATATACCCTAAGGATGCACATTCACACCAAAAGGACATTCGCTCAACTATGTTCATAGCAGCATTATTTGTAATAGCTAGAACCTGGAATCTACGCAGATGACCCTCAACTGAAGAATGAATAAGGAAAATGTGGTACATTTAAACAATGTAGTACTGCTCAGCAGTAAAAAACAGTGACAAATCTGCAGGCAAATGGACTGAATTAGAAAAAGCCATCCTGAGTGGGATAACCCATACCCAGAAAGACAAATATGTACTCACTCATAAGTGAGTATCAGATATAAAGCAAAGGACAACCAGCCTACAGACCACAACCCCAGAGAACCTAGAGGACCCTAAGAGAGACATACACAGATCCACCTAGGAAGGGGAAGTAAACACGATCTCCTGAGTAAATTTGGAGCATGAGGGACAAAGGGAAGGTGGAGGAGAGATGGGGGGAAGGAATGGGGGTGGGAAGAAATGTGTAATTCAATAAAAAATAAACTTCATTTATAAAACATATTTTTTCCCAAATAAATAGGAGACTCTAAAGTATTAGACTTTGCTACACTGCAAAATGAAATTATATAAAGACCTGGCCCTTATTAAAACATATTAACTAATTAATGAGTTCTATAGTTATTTATTTTATTACTACAAAAAATGGATCAGTGTAGACAAAGCTTTAGTGAATGAACAGATAAAAAATAGCTTACCATCTAGATGTATCTTGACTGACTCTAAAGAAAACTTTAAAAAAGAAAAAGACAAATTAGTGTTGATGGTAGACTTCAACATATGGTTTATAATTAAATTTTCATAACTGCTCACAATTATTCACTGATTCTTGTTTTACCTTTCCCTTAGCCACTACTCTGCCATATTATATGCCATATACCCACTGTGTCTACTGTACACTAAAAACTTGCCTCTCTAAGTGACATGGCTTTTATGAGATCTACATTATATAAAACATATCATCTCCTGGAGGGGTGCTGCCTTATCTCCAAATCCAGGCATACATTTTCAGTAAAAGAAGCAATGGATGATATGCTGAAACCCCACACTATCATACTGCAAATGTCAGTTTGTCTCATTGGTGATGGTAAGCTTATTCACCTGGCCTCAACAGTAACTGCTAGGCTTTCACACTGTTTCCATATTTGTCCACTTGCAACTAAATAATCTGAAAAAAAATTTATATCTTTGGCTATATTTGCACATATTGAATATATCTGGATATATATTGGATATATTTTACCCAAAGGTTTTATTACCCATTGACATTCTGTCCTTGAATCATTTGTTGGTGGTTATGAAATGGCTTAACTTTAGCCAGGTTGTGGTGGAGCGAGCCTTTAATCCCAGCACTCACGAGGAAGAGGCAGGTGGATATCTGAGTTCAAGGCCAGCCTGGTCTACAGAGTAAGACCCAGGACATGCAGAACATTACAGAGAAACCCTGTCTTGAAACATGCACCTCCCTTTGCAAAAAAGGTTAACGTTTCTAATTATTTCAATGTAGAGAGCACTTAACATTAAGCCTAATTAATAAACCCGAATCAAATTATCTTGTATGTTTAGAGACATTAAGAATCAAAAGGGGGTAGATATTTTGAAATGTATTGAAGAATAACATGTATTAATATTAGTAAACAATGGAAAGTAAACACAGATCAAGTGTTCCCAGTCCAAAATTTAAAAATGTTGAAGTCCAGAAGGGGTTCAGATTTTGGAGACAGTCATGTGGAATATTTCCTTAAGACTTCAGTGTTTAGGGAGCTGAAGAGATGGCTCAGAGGTTAAGAGTACTGACTGCTCTTCCAGAGGTCCTGAGTTCAATTCCCAGCAACCACATGGTGGCTCACAACCATCTGTAATAATGCCCTCTTCTGGCCTGCAGGCAGACATGCAGACAGAACACTGTATACATAACAAATAAATAAATAAATCTTAAAAAAAAAAAAAACTTCAGTGTTTAAATATCCCTAGTCTGAAAATGCTCCAAAATCTAAAACTCTCCTATCCCAACCAGCACTGAGGATCAAATAGAAAGTTTGGAGCATGCTAGGCTCAGATTTATCACAGAGTTCCACCCCTATAACCAACTCAACCATTTTTTTTTTGGTTGTTGTTTTGGGTTTTTTGTTTGTTTTTTCTTTTTCTTTTTTAAGACCAAGGGATGTGCCGCTTACTGTTTTATCTAAGCTGGTTTGCTCTGTTTGCTTGCTTGCAACTATGTCATTATACCCTGATGACCATGATGCAGCAGCCTCCAAAATGGCTGGAGTACACACCAGTGTATCTGGCTCAAGAGTATTTTATCACCATATGCAGCAATGTAAAATTTTTAAGTTACTGTCAGCACTCAAAGTTTCAGACTTCAGAGAATTTTGAGTTTTTGGACTAGGGGGTATTCAACCTGTATAGCAAAATACGAAATAACAGAACTTAGCTGTAAGTATGAGTCACATGCATCTCCTACAGTAAATTTAACACTATTTTGAATTTTACATTGTATCTACATATCCACAAGTTTTTAATTGGTTATTATTTACATAATCTTAAACCAATCTGAAATCTTTAAATAATTTTGAAACTTGATTAACTTCAATAACTTCACGAACTTTAAATACTACTGATTAGCCTTGTCAGTGGCATCTGAGTCTTATTACTACTACTACAGCCAGAGTTTAAGAAAGTACTTACAATCACAGGCTCAACTAAAAGTCGGAAGAGTGTTCCGACTCGTATACTTCGGCAGTTTAAAATGACACTTTCAAAGTCTTGGCAGTGTGGCGGTGACATAGCGTGAATTAAAGTTCCATGAGTGTTTATTTTACGACGTTTTAGAGGTGTGCTGATGGGATTGCCAAGCTGAAAAGAAAAAGAAAACATCACATGGTAAGTACCGTACAAAGGCTGCAAAGCAAACACACATGCACAACACTACATGGAATGGCTGTCCTTCCTCAATGAAAGGAAATAGAAACTGTGACTATAATATACAGCATGAACTACTTCAAACGCTGAGCCTTTCTGAGCACCAACATTGAACTAAAGTGACCGGATGTTGTAAAAAATGCAAGTGAAGTACTGGAGAGGTGGTTCTGTGGCTAAGGACACATACTGCTCTTCCAGAGGACACAGATTCAGTTCTCTGCACACACATCAGGCGGCTCACAATTGTTCCAAAGGATATGATACCTGTGGCCTCTGCTGGTACCTGCACTCATGTGCATATACTCACACATATACAGATAGATAAAACTAAGAAATTTTACAGAAAGTGTAAATAAATTAAAGATACCATGCAAAACTTACCTCAAAATTATCTGTACACTGTATGTGACAAATATAAATAATTTCCTTTTACACTTAGGTCCTAGTTCCAAATACCTAATTATATATATATGCAAATATTCCAAAATTAAAAAAAAAATCCGTTTTTTTGAGACAGGGTTTCTCTGTGTAGCTTTGGAGCCTGTCCTGACACTTGTTCTGTAGGCCAGGCTGGTTTCGAACTCACAGAGATCAGCCTGCCTCTACCTCTCAAGTGCTGGGGATTTAAAACAATGGTCACGAACATATTAGAAAAGGAACCTGAACTGACAGTCTGTTAAGAATGATACTGGCCTTTTTGGTGGGGGAAGGGGGAGTCAAGACAGGGCTTATCTGTGTAGCCCTGACTGTTTTGGAACTTGCTTTGTAGACCAGGCTAGCCGTGAACTCAAGAGATCTGCCTGTCTCCGCCTTCCAAATGCTGGGATTAAAGACATGTACCACCATCACCTTATATATACTGGTTTTTATTTTCTTGCTGGATTTTTAACTTAAGTCTTTGATTAAACTGTAATTTATTTTGTAAATAATTTAATGGTCTTCCAAAAGAATCTTTTAACAGTATTTGAGCAAGGATCTGTGAATAACCCATCTTCTCCTGCTGTCATTAACAAATTACTCCTGAAAACCAGGTTACACCCCAAAAGGAAGACCTAAATCTAAATGTACCTGGTCCTTCATTCTTGCTTTTCTTGGTATGACAACTGTATTTAACTCCGAGTCTGCTGGATTGCTTCTAGATTCCTGCTCTGCTCTGCAAACATTTGCATTTAGCGCAGCTTCCACTTTTCCAGTAGACGGTGCTGGGGAAGAACATGCCGAGTCGGCAGGCTGTGGGGATATGCTTTCTCTTCTGTTAGTCCTGTCATCGTCGTCATCATCACTTGACAAAATGACTAAAATCATAAAGAGCATCCAAAATTTATACTGAAAAACTGTATACTTATTATATACCAAATTTGTCTTAGATCTTCTCCACAGACCAATGAAAGCAAATGAAGGGAGAGCTGGTAAGATGGTTCAGCATGTAGAATTGCTTGCAGCACAAGTCCAATGGACTGAGTTTGATCACTCACACCCACACACACACACCCACACACACCCACACACACACACCCACACACACACAATCCACTTATCTCATGAAAGTTTAAAAAATATTTATAAAAAAGGTTTTATAAAAATATTAGACAAATATGAAATCAACTCTTTAGCTGTAGCTTCTATCGTCACATCAATCAGTGTTGGGGATATAGCTCAGTGACAGAACATGTGCCTAGCATTCACAAGGCCCTGGGTTCAAATCTCCAGTACTGCCAAGGAAAAAGTAAAACATGATATAGTGACCACTAAACCATACAGCTACATCAGTAAAATATAAGAATTACTCATATGTCTATTTCAGAGTTATGCAAAGTTTATGGTTTGAAAATGTCTAAATTTTGTTCAAAAATCACATACATTTTAAGCATGTACCCAAATAATCTTGTCTTATCATGAGAAACACTAAAGTTATAACTGATCCTGAGGAGAAATCATACTAATATCTAATGTTCAATAAATCTTGCTTTATAAGCATGAACAAGTCTATTGTCACGACAGTTTGCTTAGATCTTGTGTGCAGTACTACACCTTATCAAATCTATCCCTTGTAACCCATAACCTGACTGCACTGTACTGAGTAAAATTCCAATTACTCTATCCAGGAACACTAGCAAGAATTTCTGTTGACTACTCTTACCTTCAACACTCTTCACATTTTGTCATAAAGTATTAGCCTAAAAATCACTTTGTGATGGACCCCTAAACTAATATAAGCACACAGACAGTCAGTCACTCTATGATTTCAATGTTGCATCACCATGTTGTAGGTGTTTATTTACAACTGTAAGAGCAGAGATAATGTCTTGCTCACTAATATATGCCCAAACCTAAAACTGTGCTTCACACAGAAGTAAAGAAAAACATTAAAAATACTACACAATCTTTAAAGTGTTCCTGTGTAAGAGTAAAAGGTTGGCGAAAGACATTCTGGTGATACAGCTGCCTGTGAATTACTTACTCCTGGTAAATAACTTTAATAAAGGAGTAGGGTTTTAAAGAAGGCATGATGTAGGAGCTTACACGGGCAGTTTTCTTTTTAGCACCCCACACATACATGCTCAGTTAATACTTACTGAGGGCCATCACTCCAGTAACATCCTTGATTTTGTTAACTAGTTTCATAACAAATACTGACCTTTTATTATTATCAAAGCTGGTTATTTGATTCAATTTCTCGCCTCTATGAAATCAGAGATATCTATTTCACAGGATTGTTGCACAGATATGTAAACTCCTATTTCAGCGATTGATAGCTATAAGCTTTTAAATTGTGTGTGCACTTTCTTTAACATGGCTTAAAAATGCCCACAAACTATTTTGCCTTTTGGTAAGAAAACTAATTTGCACTGAGATCTTTCTATGTGTCAAATATCATATTGAACTATGATTATCTGTCTGTCATTTATGTTATTTTATTTCCTCAGCTCACTAACAAAGGGACTAGGGAGACAGTTTGGTTGGCAAACCTATGCAAGTATCCAGTACCTGAATGTGGTCCCCAGAATCCCACATAAAAAGGCTGGGCATGGTAATTTCTAACCCTAGGAGCTCACCAGCCAACGCACCAAGTACACACACAAAAAGTCTAGGTGGGGGATACAGACTAAGTCAAAATGAGTAATAACTAGCAGAAGCAAAGACTGGGGCCAAGCTACTGTTTTCTTACTGACTATTTTTAACACAAGGGGAATGGGAGCAAGTCAGTTGTTACTCTCACAACTACATGGACATGTCCTAATTACATGACTCCCAAATGCTGCAGACCGGCCAAAAGAAGATACCCCTGGAAACTGTGCTTCTCAAACAGGCTCACATTAAAAAGAGAGAGACAATTACAATATTGGATTGTTACTGTGTTCTTTACAGTTAGTCTAGGTGTGATAGCACACAGCTCGACCCCAGATGCTCTGGAGCAAAGGCAGGGGGCTCACTAGAGTCTTGGGAAGGGAGGCAGGAAACAAGAAGATACTTACTTGGATCATTTAGATCTGACACGCTTGTCTTTCGTTCTTTCAGGCTTGTGATTTTAGGTATTTTCCCCCCAGGTAAAATGACTTTTCCGTTAGTCTGTATGTAATTATGTCTACTAGCATCACAAGTCACCAAAATATCAACTGGAATCTTTTCCACACTGTTACCATAAAACTTCTTAGCTGTTAATCCTGTGGTTTGTGACTTCTGTCCTCCAGAGTTCTGATGAATTGATGTTCTTAGTAATGGTCCAGTGGATTCATGCAAAGTTATACCTTGTCTGCAATTTCTTTGCAAATCATTATGAAAAACAATACCACAACTTTGGCATTTAGTCTGATTTTCTTTTTCTTTTCCACATTTTGGGCAACATTCACGCTGTTCAGATACCTTATATTAAAAAACCAAACAAACAAACAAACAAAAAAAAAGGACTTTAGTATTTTAGCATCAAAAAGATTCTTTAAAAAAAAAACTCAAAATGAAATCTTTGTTTTTCCCTCATCACTCTCATGGCTTCCCTAAGATCCTGAACGAGTCATGCTCTTTGAGAGTCAGCAACAGAATATTAGAAAAAATTTCAAGGCCATCCCATCTAGCAATTATCTCTGCTAATCTAATTTTTATCCTTAAGAATCAAAAGGGAAAGAGCTAGGAAAGGTAGAGACCCCCGCTCTACATACAATAGAGCCTAGGTTTGATTCTCAGTACCACAAATAAACAAACCAGCAAACAAACAAAAGAGAAACATCCCAAGTGCTTGGCTTCAACTTTACTGTCTACAATAAGGGTAACAAAACATATTTAAAAGAAAATTACTTGGGAAACACAGCAATTCCATGTTTTCTTTCTAGAAAAATGATACTAAAACAAGTAAGTATATCCCTACCTTTCATCAGCTAACATACACACACACAGACACACGGTGCAAAATTGCAGCGATGAGAAACAAAATGCAATCAATGAACCGAATTAGATACTCAAGTTTTAATGATAAAAACTATAGGTTACAAATTTCAAGCATGGCTCACGTGGATCACATGCTGCTCTTATAGAGGATCTGAACTCAGTTCCCATGTAGCTTTACATAGTCCATAAAGTCTAGTTCCATGGAGATCTGACACTTCTGACCTCTGAGGGCACCTGTATTCACAAGTACGTACACACAGAGACACTTATGCAAGATTAAAAATAAATATTAAAAGGAAATAAAAATAATTTCAAGCAAAGAATGCTAACATACACCTGTAAGCACAGTACTTGCAAGGCTAAGGAAGAGTGGAATTGAAGGACAGCCTGAGCTACAGTGAGACAGACAGAAACAGACAGACACACATCACATACACATGCTCCACCTGCAAATACAGCTGGGGATAAAGCTCAGCCCTAGTTTGTATCTTCTACACCATGGAAACCCAAGTCCAAATGAAACCAATAAAAATGAATCTCAAAAATTTCCAAAGGTATATGTAATCCTCTTCCCTTTACTTCATTGGTTTTGATTTTCTGAGAAAATGTTTCACCATGAAGCACCAGCTACCTTGGAAGTCACTATGTAGATAGGTTGATCTTGTACTTGGGCAATCCTCTTGCCTCTCTGCCTGATGAGTGATGGGATTTTAGAATCGTATAGCTTAAATGGTTACTTTATTTACATAAAGTAAAAATTTTCATAATTATAATTTCTTTATGAAAACAAAAATTGATTAAAACTTAATTTTGCTCCATTTTGTCATAAAAAAACTCAGTAAGTTAAATAACTTCAAATTACAGGGTTAGGGGAGTATTTGATAGTAATGTTCTTTCATCATAAAGTTTGATCTTCAAAACTCCAACAAGAAAACACTATAAGTAGACGGGCGTTGGTGGCACATGCCTTTAATCCCAGCACTCGGGAGGCAGAGGCAGGCGGATCTCTGTGAGTTCGAGGCCAGCCTGGTCTACAAGAGCTAGTTCCAGGACAGCCTCCAAAAGCCTCGGAGAAACCCTGCCTCAAAAAAAAAAAAACAACAAAAAAAAAACCACTATAAAATTAACACTGCATACTATGTCCCAGACTCTATACATGCAAAACCTTAATTAAAACAAGCCTGTCTCATACAATGTCATTTTTATTATGTATCAAAAAGATATTCAATTTACATCAAAATCAAAGATTCTGTTTCCTTCCTTCCTTTTTTTGGTATTTAGAGACAAGATTAAAAGTCCTGGCTGTCCTGAACTGGCTTTGTGGAGTGCACTGGCTTTGAACTCACAGAGATCTGCCTGCCTGTGCCAGCTGAGTGCTGGGAATAAAGGTGGATACCACCATACCCCTACCCGCACTCCTGTTTTCTTACAAGCAGTGAAGTGCAGAGTCTCACAGTCTTACGTGGACAGATAAACCACTCATCCTGTTTGTTAATTAAAGATTACAAAGAGACTGTCTCTAATTGTTTCTCTCTCACAAAAGTAGAGTCAGAGGTTTTTAGGCATAAAGCAGTTTAGGCTCTGAGCTGGAAGCCTGTGGAGAAAGAGTGCTGTGATGAGAAGGAGCTTCCCTCATTCTCCTTCCTCCTTTTAGGAGACATCAATAGTCTGAGCCAATTTTAGGCTGGCAAGCCAGGAGATTTGTCAGTAGGAGAAAACTGAACAAATACATAAAAACACAGTAGGGATGATGGTAACCAGAATTCTAAGGCTAAAATGAATTACAAGCCTATAAAGGGCTTTACTACACATACATGTCTATTTCTTAGCTCTGTCTAATGATAGGGAATACAAACAGAAACTCAGTATCAATGAATATAACTAGAGCCCAAATGTCTTCCTGCCATGTAAAGGTACAATAACTTCCCGAGGATATATAACTCTTGGGCTGAGAGATCTACAAAAATAAATAAGACTAGACTATCTTGTTAAACCAAGTAAACATGCCCTTAAAAGAAAGGGACAAGCTTGAAGGGATGGTCCAGAAACAATAGTAGGAATCATCTGAGCATCAAAATATATGTAAGTTAAAGACTATAACCCAAGCAAACTAAGAATTCATGTGATCATGATGATACACATCTAAATAAGGGCAGAAGAGACAGTACTCTATTATCAGGTCTAAAACTGACATCTCAGCACCCACTTAAGAATTGGGCATTCCCCAGCAGGGTTTGCTGGCTTCCAACCTAGGCGTGAAAATGCCAACCCGAGGTTCCTGTGATAAGGAAGGACATCTGACCATCTCTTTTGGCCTATGTGAGTGTAAACATAGGTCTGTGCAACAACCAACACTCCCAACCCCGGTGACAATGTTCTCACACAAACACATCTACATACACAAATTAATCAATCAATTAATCATCCATTACCACGTGTTAAAAAACGCTTACTAATAAATAGTAAGGAGCTGAGAATATAGCTACAGCCCACTGGTAAAGTATAAGCATACTTTACAGAAGGCTCAGGATTTGATCCATGTAAATAAAAGGGAAAGGAAAGGGCAAGTTTAGAAATGTATAAGAAAACGTCTTAACTAAGGTGAAAGTCAGCATCATGTGCTTCCCAGCACACTGCACAATGAGAAGATACACATAATTTCTCAGATAAACATTGAAAATATATAATTATGATAAGTAAGAGATAAATGCAATATGAATCATAAAGTAATGAAACGTAAGCACCTTAAAAACACCAAAGTTGGGGCTGAAGAGATGGCTCAGTGGTTAAGAGCACTGACTGCTCTTCCAGAGAACCCAGGTTCAATTCCCAGTACCCACATGGCAGCTCATGAATAAAACTCATGAATCCATGCAAGCAAAACACCAGATGGAAATAGTCTAAAGAGTTGTGGCAAATAAATGCAACACATGATATTGAAATGAAACCTAAACCCAAGCACTGTTTACATGAAACCTGAAGGAGGATATTTTAAGTCAGTAATTTGGTACCTGCCTAGCATGCCAAAGTCCCATGTTCAGAGAGAGAGAGAGAGAGAGAGAGAGAGAGAGAGAGAGAGAGGGAGGGAGGGAGGGAGGGAGGGAGGGAGGGAGGGAGGGAGGAAGGAAGGAAGGAAGGAAGGGAGGAAGGAAGGAAGGAAGGAAGGAAGGAAGGAAGGAAGGAAGGAAGGAAGGAAAAAAAGGGACTGGATTTTGTGGAACAAATACTAAGTTTAAAATCAGTATTCCCTATGGTTTATTTTATTTCTTAATTATGTGTCTGTTGGGGCAGTATGTGCATGTGTGAGTGTAGGTTCCCATAGAGCCCAGAAGAAAACATCAGATCCCTGGAGTTGGAGGAGTTGCAGGTGCTTGTGGGCTGCCCAACTTGAGTGCTTGGAATTGATCTCAGGCCTCTGTAAGAGCAATACATGCTCTTAAGCATTGAGCATCCCTCCAGACCCAAATTAGTATTTTTTTTAATTATTTTTTTTCTTTGTGTGTAATATAATATTTATGGGGGAAAGAGAGAGGACGAATTTAGGGAGAAAGATGAAATTAAGGAGAGGGAGAAAAAAGAGGCGAGATGTGAAAAGGGAGAGAAGAGGAATAAGGGAAGGAGAGACAAGAATGAACACCGACAGGTCAGAAGACAGCCTTGGGTTTCAGTCCTTTTGTCTTGTTTTGCCACTGGAATCTCCTGCCGGGCCCCGCCCCCAAATCGTGCTCTAGGAGCACTGGTATTACATATATGGACCATCACATTTGGCTTTACACTGGTTCTGAGGATTTGAACTCAGGTCCTCAGGCTTGTTTGGCAAGTGCTTTTAGTAACTGGGACATCTCTCCTACCCTAGGTTTTATAAATTTTATAGCTACATATGATATCTCATGCCTGCAATCAACAATTTGAAAGCTAAAGCTAGAAGACAGTAATAAATTGGAGTTAAGTTATCTTGGACTACAAGATCTCCCAAAATAAAATCAACCAAATAAAAAGGTTTTTTAAAAATCTATCTATTTTGGGTATTTCAAGACAGGGTTTCTCTGTAGCTTTGGAGTCTGTCCTGGACTAGTTCTATAGACCAGGTTGGCCCTGAACTCACAGAGTGCTAAGACTAAAGGTGTGGGCTACCCCGTCAAAACCAAAAAATTTTAAAAGTGTTTTGCCTCTTTGTTTTTGGCTGAGTACAATAATCTGGACTGTGCTATAGGGATGCACTGATAGATTCTTTACAGAAAAAAATTCTATATTTTGGACAAGTAGAAAATGGTCTGTTTAAGCCAGAAACATGTACTTAAATAATGTTTCTCGGTTCCTTTGTGTCCTATAATGAAAGATCATCCAGAATGTAATAAGCAATGAATGCAATGTGAACAGGCTGATGGGATGACTCAGCACATAAAGCCTGCAAAGCCTGATGCCGAGTCTGATCCTGAGAATCCAGAGTGAAAGAACCAACTCCCAAAGGCTGTTGTTCACAGACCTCCACGTTAAGTCATGGCATGCACATGACCACACTCTCACAAACATACACAGTCATAAAACAAGATTTTAAAATAGTAATGAAAGTACTGTGTGATTAGTGAGAAGGGTAACTTCTCTACCTACCTCTAAATGGGTCAAATACTTCTTTGAGGCAGGGGACAGTGGAGATAGCTGATAAGTACTACAATGCCGTTTCTGCTGTACTTTCCTCTTAATTTCAGGCTCTACATAGGATTCCGACTCTTCTGTTCTCTTCATTATGCGGTCTAAAGGAAACAGTGGGGTGAAAAGCACTGAATTTAAATTTAGTAAGTTCTCCATGATCTTTGTTAAAGTCCACATTTTAATTATTAATTTTTAGTTAAAATTGGATGCTGTATAGCATGTATGATAAAGAATAACCAAATGGCTAGAGGGAGGAGGTGCTTGCCATCAACACCGACAACATGAATTTGATTCTCAGAGCTCACATGATGGATGAAAAGAACTCCTGAAAGTTGTTCAACTTGTGTACTCTCATGCCAGGACATGCACACACACACACATACATGTAAGAAAACAAAAAACAAGACCTTTTAAGTCTAAGGCAGTAATGTCCAAGCTACTTTGACCTGGTTTTCCCTTCTCAGCAGGATTTCCACACTGCAGACTACTTTCATTAGTATGGCAAAGTTTTATTCAATTGAAATAAGGCAACAGAAATAAATACCGGACTAAACCACATATGTCCCTTTCCCTCGAACTTAGCTTTGTTCTTAGATTACTAGTAAGAAAACATAGGAATTCAAACATTTGGTACAAATATTTAAATAAAGTAAAATTAAACTAACTCTTATGCTACGAGTAGATTTGTGTGTGTGTGTGTGTGTTAGTAGTTATTATGTAATTTTCCCCTAGAAATGAATTGTTTCACATATAATTGTTCTATTGGCATACTCCCAACTTTGCTAAATAGTTCTAATAGCTCTTCTTTTATTTCCCCTGTTTTGAGACGAGGTCCAGCTATGTTAACCTGGCTATGTAGTCCAGGCTGGCCTTAAACTTGGGAGCTTCCTCCTGTTTCTGGGTCCCAAACACCAGCACAGCCATAGGCCACCATATTCTGCTTCCTTTTCTCTTCTGACTTCATATTTCATCTCACAGAGGTTCATTTCTCCAGAGTATTTTCTTCTATTCTCTTCCATAAGTCCCTCTCCATATAAGCAAAGTCTGCTCAATTTATCTGATGAATCCACACTGTTCTTTGCTAAGAAGCTGCTTTGTCTCACCCTTGTCAATTAATCAATCCACAATTGCCACTGCACCCAATTTGTACTTTTATGAGCACTCATTTAATAACAAAATACTTGTTGATACTAGTCTATTGTTGCCAATATGCCTGTGAGAAATAAGGTAAATATATTATTTATCCTTTACAATAGAGATAGTGAGTCATGTATACACACACACATAAATATTTATATATACTTTTTGATTTTTTGAGATGGGGTTTCTCTGTATAGCTTCAGAGCCTGTCCTGGAACTTGCACTGTAGACTAGGCTGGCCTCAAACTCACAGAGAGATCTGCCTGCCTCTGCCTCCCAAGTGCTGCGATTAAATGTATGCACCACCACCTCCTGGCTATCATATATTTTTTAAACACCCAAAAACTACAAAGGACAAAAAACTGGACAAGAATTTACCAGATTAATAAATTGCATGAAGACAAAACTACATGATGCATTTGAGTATGAAATTAGTGAAATGTGGTGGTGCAAGCCTTTAATTCCAGTACCCGGGAGGCAGAAGCAGGGGAATTTAGGGGAAGAGATGATGTTTCTAAGTCACCTTTGAAAATGACTTATCCTTTACAATAGAAATGAGCCATGTATAAATTTAGAATCTGAAAACCTTAGCCTACAGCCAAAGGACATAAAAGAATTAAAAATCTATCAGTTTTACCCTGAGGTTACACAGAAAAACATGCTAGTCTAGGGCATCCATATGCTAGTGGATTTTATCAGGGACAGTATATTTTGCTATTTCCAAACAAATGCTCACAAAGAGCTATACTATTCCACTCTGAGTAAAAAGGAACACAGACAACATCTTTTAAAATCAGAAAGTACATAAACACAGGTATCCAGAATATAGCAAATTACTTGCAAAATTAATTTACAGCAAAATAGTCTGAAAACATGGCCCTCAACAGGATATGGGTTCTGAGTACTGGAAAGGCCAAGGCAGAGAAACTGAGTCCAGGAGTAAACAGACTAGACTGAACAACAGCGTGTGCCTCAAAGAAAATCCTCAATCTTCAATCCCTTTCAGTAACATGCTGTTTCAGATTTGCTTTACTTTATTTTGAGACGAGGTCTTACTAGGAAGCCCTGGTTGACCATGACCTCAAAGAGATGTACCTGCAACAATGACAAAAAGAGTGGCTGAAAATGGAAGGCTCCATAACCTTAATATACTTAAAGATAAGAGGTAGCATCTATATATAATTTTTCTTACGCTCAAGATGAATACAGCCTTGGCTGGAGTAGTTCAGTTGGTACAGTGCTTACTGCACAAAGACGTGGGTTCGATATCCAGCACTACAGAAACCAAATCTGGGATACAAGACTCAAACACATGCCTTTAATCCCAGCACTTGGGAGGCAAAGGCTGGTGGATCTCTGTGAGTTCAAGACCAGCCTGGTCTACAAGAACTAGTTCCAGGACACTCTCCAAAGCTACAGAGAAACTCTGTCTTGAAAAACCAAAAAGGGCAAACAAAAACCCAATAAACAAACAAACACCCTGTACTAATCTTCACTTTGACAAAAGTACTGATTTAAAAGGTATCACAAAGATGAATAAATAGGAACCATTTTATACTAGTGTTGCCATTTTTCTGTAATAATAGTAGATAATTATATCTACAGTTATTGTAAAGTAAAAAACACAAAGAAATCTAAAGATTATTTCTAATTCCCTAATGAATATTATTGGGTGGTTTTGTTTAAGGGTCTTACTATGTAGCCTTGGATGGCTTGAAATTTCTATGTGGACCATGCTAGCCCAACTCACAGAGGCCTATCTGTGTCTACCTGCAGAGTACTGGGATATAAGGTGTGTGCTACAATGTCCAGCTGAATGAATATTGTTGAGTAGTAATGTATATTGTTGGATAAATATTCTAGCTAACTGGATGAATGTCTAAAATATTACTAGTGAATCTAATCACTTTGTCTCTCTGTAGCCATTTGTCAAATGGAAATAGTATTTATATTATTCTTCTGTGAAGATCAATGCAACTTTGCACTGAGTAAGAGATTTGGCATTAAACAGACCTGGGTTTCAAGCCAGCTGCCACTGCTAGCTCTGTAAGTCTGGGTAAATAATTCAATGCTTCTATGGCATTATTTGCTTTTCTGTACAAAATGAAGAATAAATTTTGAATTTAGAGGGATTTTTCACAAGAAATAGAATATAAGTATATAACAAATACAATGTATTTGACTTAATAAGTAGAACGGAGTCAGTGTCAATAAAGAATGAAAGTGTAACAGAATGGACATTGAGAAAGATGGCCATTACTGCTAAACTCAATTTATTAACGTAACTATATACTGCAAAGTATAATAATTCAAAATCGAAAAGAATAATGCAAGATAATAAGAAATGATGAAACTGAGCACAAAAACTCCTACTTATACAACAGAACTACACTCAGTGCATGTACAAAAGTTTGGCGCTACGAACCATCATGTTTAAAAACAAGCAAAGCCTTGCCTGTAAATAAAGAGGACACATATTAAGAAATCCATTACGGGGCCGGGCGGTGGTGGTGCATGCCTTTAATCCCAGCACTCGGGAGGCAGAGGCAGGCGGATCTCTGTAAGTTCGAGGCCAGGCTGGACCGACAGCCTCCAAAACAATACAGGGGCTATGGAGATGGTTCTTGAAGAAGACCAGAACTAAGTTCCCAGTGCACATGTTAGGCAGCTCACAACTTCTGTAATTCCAGTTCCAGGAGGATCTGAAGCCTCTGGCCTCTATGGGTACCCATAAACATGCATATGCCCTCTCCCCAAAGTTACAACTTACAAAAATAAATCTAAAAACAAATTAAGACTCTATTCTAAATTGGGCTCGCTTAGCAGCACACAACAGTAAGTTCTATCTACCTTGTTAAGGGACAAGGATTTAAGTTAAAGGACAGCCTGCAACAGAGACACCTTGATCTCTAAACAACAGAAAGAACAATGCTGGGCTGTCAGGATGGCTCAGAGAGTAAAAGCACTTGCAGTGCAAGCTCAACCACTAGAGTTATATCCCAGAGCCTACATCCGTAATCCCAGCACTCCTATGGTGGAATACAGTGGAAAGGCCCAGCGAATCAGCTATCCTTGAATACACAGCATGGCAAAAACAACAAAACAGATTGCATCCACAAGGAGAAGGGAGGGAAGAAGATTCCCCAAATCTGTCTTCTGACCTCCACACATGCCCAATGGCATGCATTCCCAGATATCCTTAAAAATAAATAAAATAAAATCACTATTTCACATAAGGAAAATCAACTTGATAGTGAAATACATTGGGTTTTCTTTTTTTTTGCATTAATACAAAACTGGTATAATCCAATATAAAACTATTCTAAAGCTATAATGTATAACTAATACTTGGGTCTTTAACAAAAACATAACATAATCTAATCCAAAGATCTTAAACTGTACTCACCTGACTGTGCAACCATACTGACAATAAGACCACAGTTTAAAATAAAAAAATCTCAAATCTGTCATAAAGTATGCTTTTCAATATTATTTCTATTATGCTGGAGACTATTCTAAAGCTAGTATCTATATTCTCTCTATTTGTATTCCCCACTCAGGAATTCAAAACCCTCCACAGGGTAACAAAAAAAAAAAAACTGTAACTTACCTACACCTTGGACATGACTTAACATTTCAGGGTTGTTTTCAGCTTTTTGGACATGAGGTGGATATTCTTTCCTACAAAAGGAAATTTGCATAATTTCATTCAAATAGGAAATGCAGTTTTCAAAATGACAAAGTTAAAGGACTACTTATAATATATTTATTCAGAGGAACCATAACTTGTCATGGTAAAGAAGTGATGCTATAAAATAAAGCTGCATTAGGAAAATAAAACTACAGCCAGAGAGCCTCGGTGTTACCTCATTTACATTGTTAATCTACCAAAGCCACAATACAGGATTTTTGGAATACATACTTAGTAAATAAACTCAAATTATCAATTTTAAGGCAGTCACATGTTTAATTGAATTTTTTTTTATTTAGAAAAAGTGCCTCACTTATGGTCTCAAAACTGCCAGATTTAAGAGACCCTCTGTCATAACCCCATGTAGCTGGAATTCCAGGCATTACCTTTAGTCAGTTTCTAAAGTAATCACTTTGGATACTACATATTTATCCCTCAAATGCAAAATCTAGACCTTTTTCTCTTAAAATTGCCTTTTAAACAGTCTATGAAATTCACATTAAAAAACTTGTCACATATCAGCTTGAATAAATTGTCCATCTGAACACAACTCAATTTCTATTTTTGTATGTTTTTCATTATTTGAAAAGTAATTAGTGAGTAAAATGAATAATGAACCAAAAAATGAATGTTAAGTTTGACCATGACAATGCTAAAATCAGCACAAAAGTTGTTTCATACAAATCAATTCTAGAACAAGCAATGTCTTTGTCTTATCTTGCCATAGGACATTATGGCCAGAAATGCATTTATCTTAAAACTAGTCTATCAAACTTAATATACAATCATTATTTCAGAAAGGGGTCTCATTATGTAGCACAGGCCGCCTTTAAGTTTGTAATCCTGCCTTGGTACTGGGAGTACAATCATAAGCTACCACACTTCCCTTGACACACAACCTATAGTAAATATAACTTATCTAAGTACACAGTTTTGAGAAAGACAATTTTCTGTAGCTAATATTGAGAGAAAATCACTACATAAAGGAACAAAGAAGTACTGACTCAGGAGGTCTAAGAGATACTTTCCAACTCTAGGTAAAAGAGTCCAAAAATACTCTTATCTCATACAGTAGAAAACTAAAGAAACTATTCTATTTATTTGTATATATTCACACTAGTGTTTAGTGTTTCTAATAAATCACAAATGAATATTCTTTCAAGGGTTTCATATTTCCACATAAAGGTCAAAGGTGAAATAAAAATGATAAAGAAAATACTATTAAAAGAGGAGATAGTAATGTACTTGTAAGAGCAATCAGCAAAACACTGAATACTGTTATGCCAGATACTAATGTTGAAAATGTTTCCTATTAATTCCTTATTCTCATGACCAATATTTTTATACATGAGAAAACTGAGGCAGGCAGGGTGGTGGTGGCACACACCTTTACTTCCAGCACTGGGGAGGCATAGAGAGGCAGGAGGATCTCTGTGAGTTCAGATTAACTGGTCCATAACCCCACGATTATTAAATGACAATTTTAGAATCGAATCCCAGCAAACTATGTCAGCAACAATGACTAAAGTAATGGCAGGAACATGTGGACAATTTCTACTCTTGCAGGATTTTAAAATTTGTGATGATATAAATTATGAGGATGGGGGAAAGGACTTGCCTTTCGTGCAATGGTATCATGAAAAAATAAAGCTGGGGAATTTAACTCAGCGGATGGAATGTGTTTGCTTAGCCTGCATGAAGACCTGGGTTTGATGCCAGCACTATATATTGTTTGTTTGTTTGTTTGTTTGCATGTAATTCTAGCACTCAGGAGGTTGAGGCAGGAGGATCAAAAGTTCAAGGTTAGAGTCAGCAGTTACAAGCAATCTTAACTTCTCTTGCAGAGGACCTAAATTCCGTTCCCAGAACAAACATACACCCACACACCCCGAGTCGTCTATAACTCCAGCTCCTGGAAAAATTGAAAAAGTCAACGCTTCTGACCTCCAAAGTCACCTGCACTCATGTGCCCATAGCCACAAGAAGATACATAGACACATAATAATAAATCATTAAAAAGAAAAGTTCAAGGTCATTTCAGCTAGAGTTCCAAGCCAGTATAGGGTATATGAAGACAATGAACCAAAGGAAAAGAAAGACTAGAAGCCCTGCTAGCTAGCTTTCACAGTACAGGTATTATCTTCTTAGAATGTTAAGAAGAAAAACACCAATGACTCTACTATCTTATGTACCTGTGAACTACAATCTCAATCTGTCAGGCAGGACATGCTTACTGGGGTAGCCAGCTCTGAGGTTCTCTGTACAGGAGGGAATTCATGCTTGATACTATAGACCTATTCAAAAGCTCTTGATGGGATGTAGTGCTGCTGGTTTGCCAAATAGACAGTATCAAACTGCCTTCTAAATATTTATGTTTATACCCACAGGATAGTGCTAACTTCAGCATTGTTCAGAGAGGTTTCTGTTTGAAATACATGACAGTTAATGCAGAGACTCACAAATGATCAAGGTGTTAAGAACAAGTGACTGCTGAAAGTTCAGCTCTCAACATGACATCTACACACACACACCCCACCCCACCCCCACACAGGAAAGGCTCAGGGAACATTGTGGAGAAGGTAGTAGAAGAATGCTATTTTCTAGATGTAAGAGGGCAGTTGTTCTCATGAACTCATAGCAGTGGAATCTATCTACACAAAGCCTGCATAAGCCTGGGCCTATCAATATTCCATCACAGATGGGGAAGAAGCTCATGGGTCCCATCTGTTCTTGAGGAGTCACAGGCAGTAATAGTTAATGGAGGAATGGCCAGGGTATTTCTTAGTGGTATAGCCAGTGGCAAGTTTTCCCTAAGTAAAAAAACAAACAGCAACAACAACAAAAAGCCCTCACCTATGTTCCAGCAAGCAATTCTAATTAAATTCGCAGGAGAGGGGATACATACAAAAGGAAGAAGTAGGTAGGCACTTGTTAGAGAGAGGAAGGGGTTCAGAGGAGGGAAAGATGGGAACATACTCAGGTCAATCAGTTCATATTGCATATGGATGAAATTGTGAAAGAATAGATTTTAAATGCTCAAAACTAATTTTTTTGAAGGCCATGCTTTCAACTTCTAGCCTAGCATGGTAGCACATGCCTGTAATCCCAGCAGTTGGAAAGGCAGAAGGACCAGGAGTTCAAAGTCAAGCTCAGTTTCACTTGAGTTGAAGGCAGCATGCACTGCATGAGACTCTACCTCAAAACAAACAAACAAACAAATCAACGTCTGGGGCTCCTAACTATACTATATCAAGCTTAAAATATTCATGTTTCATATGGTTACATAGCTATAATAAAGTCTGACACAAATACAGTGATACTTCACTGAAATTCTGTATCTTTTATTTTTTAAATTATGGACAACAAAAACAGTGTTTTGAAATGTTGAATATTATTAACAAAAACCCCACAATTATTTAACACCCCGGAAAACAAATCATATACACTGCAATCTGATGCTTTGTACTACCTATGTATTGCTAATGAGGATGAAACATAAATACATGTAATATCCATAATGAACATGTGCTGCAATATTACATGTATTTACTTGTATTCCAGACTTCATAGCTACTGTTTCCAATTTTTTCCTGCATTTTTTCTACACAAATAAGAAAAACCAGCTGCTCTTAATTATACTAAAATGCAGACATAAAAATATTCCTTAGCCATGTGGTGATGGCACACACCTTTAATCCCAGGACTCAGGAGGTGGGGGTGCACAGGACAGCCAGAAGTGCACATAGAAACCCTGTCTCAAAAATATAACAAACAAACAAAAAACTCCTTAAGTCCCATATGCATCTAGATATCAAACTCAGGTTTGTCAAGCTTAGTGACAAGAGGCTCTATCTCTGTGCCCTCTCACTTGTCCACAAGAATGATCTTTTTTTGTTTGACAAGAAAATCAAATCACTACCCATAATTTTCTTTTCCTTAAATTGTAGTCTTCAGGCTGAGGACGTAGCTCTGGGGTAGTACAACCAGCGGTTCCTGACTGCTGGATTAAGGAGTGCACTATTATGCCAGCTTTCTTTCTTTCCTCCCCTGGAGACAGGGTTTCTCTATGCAGCACTGGATGCCTTTCCCTTCCTCTGTGGCCCGCACTGAGCTCGTACAACTTAGATCCTACTGCCTCAGCTTCTTAAATACTGAGATTACAGGTTGTGAGCCACCACACCTGGCCAACCTTGGCCTCTTGTCTAAGGTAACCTCTACCAATCTTCTTTATTCTAAAACTACCATTTTCTCTCCTTACTCTACTTGGCAACAAATTCAGTCCACACTAAAAAGGACAGCAATACCTATATATTTCATTTAGAATTAGTCTATAAGAAAAAAGTTGTCTCCCAGTCCATTTTACAGAGCATGTAAAATTAGCAAGTCTAACCTGGTCTACACAGTGAGTTTCAGGCTACGGACAGCCTTGCTATTTAGCTCATCCTGTGCTCTTCATGCCTCAGTCTACTCAAGCCATCCTGCCGGAAGATTCTGGTGCTTTCACTGAAAGCAACTTTACAATTAAGGCACTGAAAATTTTATTTTTAAAGAAAATTACACATCAGCATAAATATATAATAACCATCTATGAACTAATATATGCATTGAGAATTATACTGAAACATTACCCACACACCAAATATTACAATGTACTATTAATATTTTTCCTTTCATTAAACTATTAAGCTTTAGTGATGAGCTCCAATTTGGGGTATTGTTCAAAGCATATAAGATGATAATTTACTGCTACACCCATGTTCTAATTTCAAACATTAAGCTTACCTTTCATTTCGGTCCTGATTGCTTAAAACATGAAAAAGAAAAAAAATGTAAGAGGGAAGACTTCATTGTTGATATTTTCATTGCAGTTGTAATTATTGCAGTCAACAAGGCAAAAGTATTAATACAAGCAATTTGTTTTAATGATATTTTGCATTTACTACATATGAACTATTGCTTAATTTTTTCAGTTTTGGACAACATAAGTAGTCAAATATTTAACAGAAAGACATAGATGCATAAAACTGAAAATTCTCAGAAGGGCTTTGCCTATAAAGCATTGGATGACAGATTATTTTATGACAGTCATAGATATCATTTTCAAGAAATAATATTTCCAAGAAATTATTAAAAATTCCAATAATTTCAGCTTTATTATATTAGACACAAAGTTTCTACAAGCACAACAGTCTTAGAATAAATACTGTATGTTATTTAGGATACAAGCAAAGGTTAGGTTTATAATCAAAGCCTCTTATCACAAATCAATGTATGAAAGTTTAACATTTTGCCACAATTCATGAAAATTCCAGAAGACATCAGTCATGGAGTAAAACTATAGTCTTCAAGTTAGAATAAAACAAAACTCACATTCTGAAACTATTGCTCTCCATCATATAAAGGATTAGATATTCAAAACTGTAAATACAACCTACTTAACAAAATTTCAACACTACAGTATTACATTCCTTTCAGTGGAAGCATGCAAGTAAGCCAAAAGTACAATCTGACAAAATTAAGAAAGAATAGCAGGAGACATTAAAACTGTTTTCAACAGTGAAGAAACAACACATCTATACTAACATATTTGGAAGCTTACCTGTGCTACTAAAAACTTGTAGAAAATTTATGTCAGATAACAGAAAAATGGTAACATGGCATTTCTGTTGAAGTCAAGGAAATATAAACACCCAAGTTCAAACACAGCCTAGTTTTTTCTCTAGTAGGAAGCTACAGTCCCAGGAAATGTTAAAACATCTAAAAGTGAGATACTTCTAATGTCACACTGCTGATCCCAAGAGGCAAACAAGGAATCTACTTTGTGTCTTTAAAACTCACCTGTAAAAAACACAGAAAGTATAGAATATAGAACAAAGATAAAGAAATAGATTTGGCTCTTCCCAATAAACTAAGAGGCAGGAAGAGAAAGAAATTAATACCACCTTATCCTTAAGAAAAATACATAGTAGAGACAGATGATGCCACTAGGTGGGAATGGAATCCCTGGCTTCCATCCTGAGAAACACACACACACACACACACACACACACACACACACACACACACACACACACACACACACACACACTCTCTCTCACTCTGTCTCTCTGTCTCTGTCTCTCTCTCACACACACACACACACAAACACACACTCTCTCTTTCACACACTCTGTCTGTTTGTCTCTCACACACACACACAGACTCACACACATCTAATTTACAAGTCACACCATTCCACAAGAAACTTCAATGTATGTATTATTAAGTCTCACACCAGAAGTATGCACATGTATAAAAATAAGATTAAGCATGTGGAAGTTATTAATAAAGCAGGCCTTTGAAAGTGTCAACTTACACTCTTTTTTGGACTATTTCATATAAAATGGCAAGGAAAAGTATCTTTTTTTTTTTTTTTTTTTTTAGATTTGTTTATTATGTATGCAGTGTTCTGCCTACAGGCCAGAAGAGAGCACCAGATTTCACTATAGATGGTTGTGAGACACCATGCAATTGCTAGGAACTGAACTCAGGACCTCTGAAAGAAGAGCCAGGACTCTTAGCCACTAAGCCATCTCTCCAACGCCCAGAAAAGTGTCTTCTAACTAATGCTGGGCTACTGGTCTTAAAAAGAAAAGGATGGGTTAGAAAGATGACTCAGTGGTTAAGAGCAGAGACTGATCATACAGAGGACCAAGTTTGACTTCTGGCTCCCGTCTCAGGGACATAGGACTGCCTATAGCCCCACACAGACACATAATTAAAAAAAAGAAAGTAAATCTTCAAACAAAAGCGTAAAAATAAAGAGGAAAACAGACACTGATTTAATTCTGGTATTTATGTCTTAACTTAGAATCTCAAAATGTCTCCCAAGGTGGAACAGTTCACTAATAATTAAACCTAGCCTCTTCTAGGACCTAGTTTCTGAGTGTGGTTTATTGTTTTTTGTGTCTGAGAAAAAGACTCAAAGGAGGCTAACCTCAAACTAATGACCCTACCACTTCATGCTCCTAAGTAGTGAATTAAAGATATGTGCCACACTTTACTGGATTATATATGTTTTTAAAGACTTTTATTTATTTTCCGCTTATAACACTTTTAAACCAACCTTTAAGAGAAAGCTAAAAAAAGAATGATTAAAAAGTGAAATTCTGCTGGGCATTGGTGGTACACGCCCTTAATCCCAGCACTCGGGAGGCAGAGGCAGGCAGATCTCTGTGAGTTCAAGACCAGCCTGGTCTACAGAGTGAGTTCCAGAACAGTCTCCAAAGTCATAGAGAAACCCTGTCTCGAAAAACCAAAAGAAAAAGAGGAGGAGGAGGAGGGAGCTGCAATGTAAACAGATTTTTAAATACTTGCAGTTCATTTTTCTCCAATAATTTCCTTTAGTACTGTTAGTAAATGAGCCTATCTTTTATGTATAAAACAACTTTTGGAACAGTAGTAAGAAAACAGATTCCTTTTGTAGCAGTAATAAGAAAAGATTAGAGTTAATCATCTTTCCCAAATTATAAAAATCTGATATAATATTTATCAACTTTCCCCCACAAAAAAGATCAATCTGTCTTTAAAACTACAAATTACTAGAACAATGTCTGACTGACTTGAAAAACAAGTCCTACTCCTCTACCAAACTTGTAACAGTTGTTAATTTTCATGTGAAGATTTAAGGCCTCTCAACTGTGTTCTGGGGGCTCTAGAGCACTCTCAGAGGCTGGTTGCTGGACTACATCCTCCTTCAGGACGGTGGGGGGGGAGTGCTGAGGCGGGAGGGGGAGGACCCAGGGCCTCCCTCTCTCTGCAGTAGCCCTCACTAAATTCTCTAGCCCAACATGGCCTCAAATCCATGGCATTCTCGCTGCTTCAGTTTGACCCTAAGTGCTGGAATTACAGGCACACACCACCACATTTGGATTCATTTAATTCCTATCCTTAAATTGTTCATTAAATTTGATCTTAGAGGGTGGGGACATATTAATCATACAATACCTGTTTTGTAACATACCAAATCTCTTTGTTTCTAAAGGAATAAAACTGAGAACTGTCAATGATTTGACTGTGGAGTTCAAAATCCTTTAAAAGACAGGTAGGTCATAGACCAAGAATGCTTCCTCTTACACAGAACTAAGACACACGTGAACACTGTGCTGCTCACCCAGGTCTCTAAAGTCTCCTTCACTGCCCCTAAGCATTCTGGACAGATATTTTGACTCAGGATGGTCTTGGGATACGAATTAATTCCGGCTGCTGTTCTTTAGAAAACAATCTTTTTACCAACAAATACTAGCTTTTACAAACTAAATCATTTTCAGAGAGGAGCAGCAACTCATAAAAGATACCTAGTATAAAACAAAACACAACCAAATTTTCTGATTTTAATTTTCTGTGAAACCATACATCTATTTTATATCCTTTATCCTTATGTTAGTGCCCCATGCTGGCCAAAGACCCTAATTTGTGTACCCCAAATTACAACAAAGCAATTTTTGGCTTGCAGTGAGCAGTAACTTCTGTCTACTGAACTGAATTTCTTTACAATTTTATATGAAAACTATAGGAACATATTTAAGAAAAACAAGTTTTCATTTAGTCATCTTAAATTACGAGAAAAATCTAAAGATATTGTCAAAGATTATTGCAGTGAATCTACACAAGCACCAGATAAAGCAAGTTTCTAAGGTTTGAAACATTGTTTTTTTAATGAATAACAAGTTTAATAATAAAGAACACTATGTAAATTGTATACAAAAAATAAATGCAACCAGTTATAATAAAGTATTTGTAGTTTACCACCCTAGGGCTTAAGAATCTTGAATCAATTGGAAGGAGATATTAACATTCTAAAAATGATTCTGAAAAAGCTCAAAATCTTTCCCCAACCATTACTTTCATTGCTTCGATGAAACAGTACTTTCAACATTAGTGAAAACTACATTTATAACATAACCAAACACTTAAAGCTAAATGGGATTTGGTTGATATTCTGAAATCTACAAAACAAGAAAATGAATAAAAAATACTTTTGCTCCTTAGGTCAACTACCAGTTCAAGCTAGTACATTAAGATCAATATTATTTATCAGCTTCACTAAATATCTACCTTCTTAGATCTAGAAAGTAATTCAGAAAATGGTTCTTATTTTAAATTCTCCACAAAACTTTATAAAAAGCAAATATAAAATAAGGTGTAACAAGTCATGAATTATTTCACACTTCAAACTGCCAAGTTCTACACATGAAAAGGGTGAAAAACAATCTTATAAAGATTAAATAGATATTTAAGAAGAGGGAATGCTACAGCCTAAGAGAATGAGGTCCTTACCTCTGAGCCGCAGTTTTGACACCTGGTATCTGTGCGTGAGCATGATGGAAGCGTCTGCCATGAACTACAGTCCCCGAACACAATGTTGTAGCTTGGGTATTTTCACTGCGCAAAAAACGAAGAATAGTTTGAACAGATAAAAAACTGCATACACACTGACAAAATACCTCTTTAAAATTTGAGCACACATAAGCAAAAATTGTGCACTAAAATAATAATAACAAAGATAAACCAAATTAACCATCTAAAATTGCCTATTAGGAGACTTCCTAATATTTTTAAGTATTTCCAACATCCTCAAGGAAAAAGAATAACTAGAATACATGAAGCCCAAAACTTTAATTCTATTAACTTGAAAGTTATGTGATGTTTACAGATCTTATTCAGCTATTTATAGTGATAGAGGGGCTTTTCTATTGCTAACAAGAGTGATTTTCAACTCCACTTATGGTATGTTACTGATATTAGCAGTTCAGTCCTAGGGCAAATATAGTTTACTATACCATAACCACTAGGAAAGCAATGTTTTATCTGAAGAAGTGGAATAAAATCTTTGAAGAGAAAACAAGACCCCTGTTGAGATGATCTGAACTAGGAGGTATGTGAGTGTGAGTACTGCCTTCAGACTTCTAATGCTGTGACTGCTTTCTCCATACCTATACATAAGAAAATGCATGATATGCCATATACTAAAATGTTTCTTGCAACATATGCTTTACTCAGAAATTATTACAATTAAGTCCTAATTCAAGCCTCAAAGGGCACTGAAGAGATGGCTCAGGAAGTAAATTGATTGTTTATGAGCATGAGAACTTGAGTTCAGATCCCTAGCATCCTTATGCAAGTCTCCTGTGGGCCCTAACACTGCCAAAGTAAGGCAAGGTAAGGGCATGCAGAACTCAGGGCTCTCTGGGAAAACCATCTACCTGACAGCAAGCTAAAAGTTCAATAAAAGACAAAACAAAAACAAAACAAAAAAAAAAAATGTAAGACCAGGTATGCTAGCAGCAGTCAAGAACAGAGGCAATAGATTTGGATTTGAAGACAGTCTGATCTACATAGTGAATGCCAAGCTGACTTAGGAATACATAGTGACCAGGTCTCAAAAAACAAAAAAGGAAAAAAAAAAAAAAAAAAAAGAACCCAACAACAAATTCTGTCCGGCTTCCACACATAGAGCACACACATGTATGTATGCATGCATCATATACACACAAAATAAATAAATATATAAAAATAATTTTAAAAGACCAGATCTGGCAAGGTGACTCAGCAGATAAATGCCAAGTGCCACCAAGCTAACAAACCTGAGTTCAGTCCCAGTCCCTCAAGTTGTTCTCTGACCTCCAGGGGCACATCATGGCACATGTACATACATATGTACACACAAACAATAAATGAATGAGTGCATGAATATTTAAATTTTTAAAAAAAGATTCAAAGAATCTATGCAACTTCCTGGCCTTACTGACAAATTCAAAAGAAACGGGTTATAGAAGCCCCTGGCCACAAAGTGTCAACAACCTCTTTGCTTACCCTCTCTATAATGAAGCATCTACACGACAACCTTTCTATTTTTAAAGCATTTATTCAACTTTTAAATGTACCTCAGTTTCTTATTGTTGCTTAACATGTTAAGTCCAACTGGGTTGCCTTTCAAAGTTTTAAAACTGTCAGTCTTGCTTCGTCTTACATAAGTCTTCAAGATGAAATCACCAGAGCTAGTAGCAACAATTTCAGATCTCCGATTTAACTGCAAAAAGATCCATAGATGTTAGTTAATAAACAGCATTGTGTGGTAATTTATCAACAATATCTGAAAACTCATTAGTTAAAAAAAACAAGCCAGTTAAGATGGCACACAACGTGCAGGCAGTAGGATCACAATTTTAAGGCCAGCCTGGGTTACACATTTAATAAACCAGAGAGATGGCTAGGTGGGCTAAGGCACTTGCCACCAAGCCTGGCAACTGGGAGTTTGATTCCCCAGGACTCATAATGGTGAAAGTAGAGAACTGAGTGTTTCAAGTTCTCCCGACTTCCAATGAGCAAGCCCAAGTGTGTGTAGATGTATACAGACACACAGACACACACACACACACACAATTAAAATATTTAAATGTCAATAGGGCCTAGTAGCCTCTAATTTCAGCACGCTGAAGACTGGGAGGCACAGCGAAGACAGCTGTCATGCATTTGAGGCCAGCCTGGTCTACACAGCAAGTTCCAGGCCACTTGAGGCTACTACAGTGTGACTGCCTCAAAGAGAAAATTAGAGTGGGAAGAACAAGGAAAAGGGGAGGTAGGGAGGGTAGTGCAGGGGAAGGGAGGGACAGGCAAGATAAAAATATACACAGCTGTTGGGGACAGAGAAGAATGGGATAGGGGGAAGACAGCAGCAGGACAGACCTGAGAGAAAATGGTTAGACTCTTTTCCCCTAAAAACAATGTAAAAGCCGGGCGTTGGTGGCGCACGCCTTTAATCCCAGCACTTGGGAGGCAGAGGCAGACGGATCTCTGTGAGTTCGAGGCCAGCCTGGTCTACAAAGTGAGTTCCAGGACAGCCTCCATAGCCACAGAGAAACCCTGCCTCGAAAAACCAAAAAAAAAAAAAAAAAAAAAGTAAATTTGTAGGAACAGTTTGCAAGCAACTTTTACCCACAGTACCATCTCACTTTGGCCTTCTTATATATCTTAATATCTTTTTCAATTTCAAAAAAATCTATATTAATTTTTTAGACAATCTTACAATGTATTTTGATCATATTTATTCCCTTTCCCCTACTCCTCCCAGGGGCAGGATTTCACGTCCACTTAGACACATAGTCTAGGGATATTGTCAACACCCCTCAGGCTCCTGCTGAGTAACAAGACTGTGCCACCACATCCAGTTTAATTTCTTTAAAAACAAACAAACAAACAAAATGAAACAAATACCAAGGTCTTACTTGAAAACTAGACTGGGATAAAGTGATAAAACTGGCAACAGTCTTAATCATTAGCCCAAAGTAAATACACATCTATTTGCTCTACAGAAGAAATTCTCTTGGGCACAAATAAACTGGCAAAAGGAACAGAGCTAAGTGGGATAAATGATATTCTTTCACTATGAAAGCTGCATTTGAGGGTTACCTCCCTGGGTGATTCTGATACACTATCATGTTAAGAATGCTAGAGGCAAAAGTGTTACACTACAAACCGGCAGAGGAATCAGCGGCACATGCACACACAGGTTCTTGTTTGTGAACACCTGGGAGCCAGGGGCAGGACTGAGTATGAATTTGAGGTCCTCAAGCACCGCACTACTGAGCTGTCTTTCCAGCTCCTCAAACATGTTTCTGATTTAAGGAATTGTGTGATTTCAAACAGTCCATTTTGAAGGCAGATGTGGTGATACAAGTTTAAAACTTCAGAAGTAGAAAGGAAGAGGTAGGAGGATGGAGCATTCAAGGTCAGCATGGGCTACATAGAAATACTGACTCAAAATGAGTATCTTTTTTGAGAAAGCATTTGAGGGAATATACACTAACAACCCAATGTCATCAAAGCAAGAGTATATATGTAAGAAAAATTCTTAAATTTCTTACTTCTGTTGCCTGTAAGTTGTTTACAGGACAGATCATTTCAGTCAGCAACAAAATAACCAGCACTTCTAGTTTCACTATGTGGTACTTCTAGTTTCCTTATGTTGGGTTTGGATGTGAAATGTCCCCACAGGCTCGTGTTTGGATACTTGGTTCCTGGCTATGATGCCTGGAAAGTTGTGGGATCTCTAAACGGAATAGGCTTGCTTTAGAAAATATGTCAGTAAGGATGGGTTTTGAGGTTTTATAATCTGCCCTCACTCCTTGTTCTCTGTGCAAATATAATGTGACTACTGCTTCCTGATTGCCAGGCTGGCCTCACACTCCTGCTCTCATGTCTTCCCCACTTTCGGGGACTGCACTTCCTCTGAACTGTCAGAAAATAAGCCCTTTCTCCCCTAATTCACTTTTTGTCGGGATATTAACTAATACAGTTAAGAACTACGAATCTCGCTGGGAGGTGGTGGCGCACGCCTTTAATCCCAGTACTTGGGAGGCAGAGGAAGGTGGATCTCTGTGAGTTCGAGACCAGCCTGGTCTACAAGAGCTAGTTCCAGGACAGGCTCCAAAGCCACAGAGAAACCCTGTCTCAGAAAAAAAAAAAAAAAGAAAGAAAGAAAGAAAGAAAGAAAGAAAGAAAGAAAGAAAGAAAGAGAAGAAAAGAAAAGAAAAAGAAAATAGGGTATTCAGTGTAGCCCTAGCTGGCTTTGAACTCACAAAGAGATCTGCCTGCCTCTAACTCCCCAGTTCCAGTATTAAAGGTAAAGGCCACTATTAGTCCTGGCTTATTAACGTTTTTTTGAAGCAGGGTCTCAAGCACCCCAGACTAGCCTTGAACTTCCATGTAACTGAGGATGAACCTGAACCTCTTGACCCTGCTGCCTCCATCACGCATGCACAACTATACCTGGTTTATATGGTGCCAAGGTTCAAACCCACAGTTTCATGTATGTGAGGCAAGCATTTTACCACACCCCAGGTCCATAAATGTATTACTCTATAGGAGAATCACAAAATATAAGCTTACAATTGTTTTCTTGTCACATAAGCACAGTGCTAAGCAAGCATGAGGGGTGGAGTCTGGACTCTCAGAACCCTCATAAAAGTCAGGCAGGCACGGTAGCCAGCCACTTGAAATCCCAGCATTGGAAAGCAGATGGGATACCCAGGAACACAGGACTAGCTATAAGAGCCAAATCAGCAACTCTGGGTTAAGCAAGAAACTCTGCCTCAATAATAAATAAAGCAAAGATCAGTCAAAGACACTCAAGTATGGAGCACAAGAACAAATGCAGCACCTCCCCATACACACACAGCCACAATTATCTTTTTAGAAAAAAAGAATATAAACAGTATTTTACTACTTTAGATATCTGGCATATCTACTTGTCTCCTAATAATTTTTAATATTTATGGTCTTAAATCAGTGGCATATCAAATTACTGAGGAGTGGGAAATATAGTAGTAACAAGCATAAACTGAGCCATTTATGGATGATTATGTCACAGGTTAGACATAAAAATTAACATGACATTTTTGGCCCAAGTCAGTTTTCTAAATAATACAAGCCGAATACTACTGAGGTATGGAGGAAGATGAGGCTCGGTTTGTAGTGTTTGCTTGGCATGAGCAAAGCCCTGGAGATCCCAACTCTAGCCCTCATGTTCATGGAGCAAACACTACCCACTGTGCCATCTCCCTAGTCCCAGAGCTATTTTTATGGACTCTTACAGATGGCCTCCAGAAATTTCCAGTGAAAGCAAGACTAGAAAGCCAGGCATGTACACTACCAACTACATATGGGAGCATGGCACGGGGTGCTACAGGGATGACTGCCCCCACTCCTGTTCTGCTTCCTAGAAGCCAGGGATTGAGAAGCTTCACAAGCCATATGCATGCTTCCACATGTTGTTATGGGTCCAAGCAACAATGAACAAAAACAATCTTGAGCCAAAACCAATATTCCTCCACTATTAAGTTGATTTAGCTAGTTTTTAATATCCATGGCAAGCCCAACTAAGACACATTTCTATAGAGATAAACAAAAATTTAGAACTATTTGTGTCTGGAGTTGGGAACGGGAGCACTGGGCCTTACAGTAAAGAGACTATAAATCTTTTTCTTTAAAATGACACAGTCTCATATTGTAGCCTCGCTGGTCTGAACTCACTACATAGACCACGCTGGCCTGGAACGTGTGGCAAGCCTCCTTTCATTAACTCCTAAGTGTCAGGATTACAGGAACAGAGACTATGTTCAGACAAACTTTTTTTTTGGTACACACACAAAAGAAAACAATTTATTTTAGAGCAACACTTGCCTTTTTTCCTTTTGAGGTTTCAGAGTCCTCATCTTCTACACTGAGCAGATTTGCTCCACTATACAGAAAATAAAGGAAGAAACCTTAAGCAACAGTTACAGTCCACACATTAATGCATCTGCTCTCTGCTCACTGCTCATCTAACTGGGGGAATTAGCAAACATTTCTGCCAAGCCTCAGGAGGTCAAACATTTTAGGCTTCCCATATAGTAACTATATATACGTTCTCTGTTACACCTTTGCCATGGCAGCATGAAAATAACCATAACACTATACAGCTGGCTGCTTTTCAGCACAATTATGAACAAATCTAGGTAGTAAACAAAAAAAGGCAATCCACTGACCCTCACTTAAAAGAACATATGATCTTGTTTCTGAGGCTATAGATTTTATATTTAGCTATCTTCTCCTTTTCTGTCTTGAATTGGCATTTAGAGAACAGAGAAGTTATCAAATCAGAGTACCATTAAGGGAAGGAAAATTATTAGCTAAGGAAAAGAATGGGATTCCAAGGGCATTGGCACAATGACAGTCACAGACAACACCACCCTTTCACTCACAACCAATGGCCATCATGCTACTGCATTAACAGCTCACTAGCAACCTCAACGTGATCAAACAGTTGCAATCCCCGAGGAACACAATGAACTGCAGAGTGCAATCCATACACGAGACACACAGGATGGCACCCCAATAGATTATTTTGAAAAGATAAGCGTGGGAAATCTCTCAGAACAGAAATCAAATAATCTTTTAGATAATTCTGCTATATACAGTAAACTCCAAGCTATTTGTAATAAAAATGAAATGTTTTACCTCATTACTTCGTTATATACCAACATTGTTAATACAAAAATTCTCTTATAAAAATTGTATTAAAATATCTGGAAGGTTAAAATAACTTTGTTGAAATTTCATATTTAGTGCCATTTTTTCAAAACTATATTAATACCAAATATCTATTGGGAATTTTTTTAAATAATCAGAAAAAAGGGTAGGATGATCACAAAACATTGAAATAAATATATCAGTTCAAAGTTCTCTTTCAAATAAATTACCAAAATAATGGATATGAAATGCCTCAAGTATTCAGCCAACGTACTTCTAAATAACAACTTGGACAAGGGCTTCTTTTTAAAAAGCTGGGTATAGTGAAGGGCATCTGCAATTCTAGCACTAAAGAAACAAAAGGACAGCTACAAGTTCAAGACCACTGAGCTATACAGTAAGTTATAGGCTATCCTGGGCTATAGAGTGAGACTCTCTCCCAAAAAACTAGAAAAACAAAGTTTCTAAAAATATATTTATAGCCAGGTGTAGTGGCACACAACTTTAAACCCAGCACTTGGAAGACAGAGGCAGGTGGATCTCTATGGGTTTAAGGCCAGCCTGGTCTACAGATTAAGTTTCAGGACAGCCATGGCTGTTATACAGAGTAACCCCCCCCCACCAAAAGTCAATAAATAAATAAAAATATATTTATACCTCTGTCAAATTTTTGTGTATTTACATGTCTCTGAACTTGTTTCTTTTGGCCAGTGAAAAAGAAGTCAGTACACCACCAATAAGTTAAAAAATTGCACCATGATTGTCACAGTATGGAAAAAGTGCTATTGTAACTCTTATTGAAGGCCATGGAAGTACACTGTTGAAGAGCACTTTCCTAGTAAAGGCCCACACCTCTTTTGTAAAACTTCACACAGGTCTGCTTCCAAGCAGTGTCAAAGTATGACACTGTTCTTACTTCTGTCTGGACAGTGCCCATTCACATCATATAGACTGGTGCTGTTTCCCCTGGTGGAAATCTGATCAAAGGTCGATGTGATGATCATAGGATCACAAGGAGAAAACAAAGACAACGGAAGACTTAATTTTCATACAATATTCAGAAGCGTGATAAATTGTGGCTTTTCACATTCTTTCCAGAAAGGCTGCCTTTTAAAATGAGGGGAGCCATGGTTACTTTAGTTTGAAAACTGTTGTCTAGACATTTTTCAATCATTAGAAAACAAGTAATACATACACATATATTATAAAGACTAAGAAATTTAAGCAAATGATTTACCAATAAATTACTGCTTTATCTTTTCTTACTGCAAAGATACCATAATATTTAAAAAAAAACTTTCCACAAAGTATAAATTGATTTTCTACTGAAAAGTTAATTTCATTCTTATAAAGTATCAGAGAGAAACATCCTTACTCTTTATCTGCATCTCCTTCACTTTCTTCTTCATGATCAAAGCTCCAATTATTTTTAAAACCTCCATCTCTCTTAGATTCTGATCTAGCCAAAGCTGAAATAAAACAAACTGAAATGAGCATTCATGTAACATTGAATGTAAAAGAAATTTAAGCAGTCCCCAAACTCTGTTCTACATTTTTTAAATCTTGATGCTTTTTTTATTTTTTAAACTATTTTTGTTAAGAGTCTTACTTTCTGGGGGAGGGGATGGAGGAGGAGGGAGGGGAGGGGGACGGGACAAGGAAGACGGAATGACACCACATTAAAAGTTGGTTTTCTTTTTTTTTTCCCATCTTAAGTTGCTTTATTCATGATGTTTCATCACAACAATAGTAACCCTAAGACAGGAATACAGAAAACAAGCACATTCAAAAATAAAATAACAGACTTAGCCTCTAACATATCAATAAATAAGGACAAATATTTTCAACTCAACTCAGTGTTAAAATTCAACTGTATGCGCCCGGGCAGTGGTGGTGCACACCTTTAATCCCAGCACTTGGGAGGCAGAGGCAGGCGGATCTCTGTGAGTTCGAGGCCGGGCTAGACCGACAGCCTCCAAAACAATACAGAGAAACCCTGTCTCGTAAAACCAAAAAAAAAATTTCAACTGTATGCTATCTATAAGAATAAAAGTTGCTTTTCTAATGAGACATGTGTCTACTAGAGAAATTTAAATTACTAAAGCATAATAAAATGGTGTTTTATGAAATACATAAAATCAATCTCTAATCACTGATTCTAGGAATTCATTCCTCTAATTTAGTTTGCTTGCTTTATTCATGAGAACTACATCCAGACCACTAACATTTTCATTACTCAGTCACCTCTGCCTTTATTTATTTATTTGCTTGTTTTGGTTTTTCTAGACAGGCTTTCTTTCTAACAGCCCTGGCAGTCCTGAAACTTGCTCTGTAGACCAGGCTGGCCTTGAATTCACAGAAATCCGCCTGACTCCACCTCCCAAATGCTGGGATTAAAGGCATGCACCACCACCACAGCCCAGCTCACCTCTACCTTTTAACAAAAGAGAAACAAAGCAAGATCTTGAGTGTTGGCAACGTAGTTAATGTGATAACCAGAAAGCTCTAGATCACCAAAAGATGTTATTAGGAAATACAGAACCAAGTGGGAAGGGTGAAATGAGTGAGGGTCAAAGCTAGGATCTATCTTGAAGCAGCATGACAAAAGTCTAACTTCCTAGAGTTTGGGCTTAGATTAAGTTCGGAGTCAGTGTTATGAGAGGTCAGACTGACTCAAAGGGCAGGAAAAAGAAAAATGCAACTAGGGATGACCTACCCTTGGATCTGGACTTGTCACTTGAATTACTGAGGACAAGTCCCAGTGGGCAAGCAGAAGCTCAGTGACAGTGCTTGCCCACGGTAGGGAAAAGGGTCCAGCCAAAGAAACACACCTTGAGCAGAGACAAAGAAACACACTTTGGCCCTGCAATCAGAACCAAAGAAATGTACCCTGACCCTGAAACCACTGCCAAAGAAACACACTTTTCCTGGAATCAGAGCCAGTGAAAGAAATGCACCCTGACCCTAAAATTGGAGCTAAAAAGGACCAGAGAAAGAAACACACTTTGGCCCTGAAACGAGAGCCAAATCTGACCCTAATCCTGTGCAGAAAACTAACCAATCCTCAAGTAGGAGCTCTAGCCAATCTGAGCTCAGCATTAAAATCTGACCAATCCCCACCCTGGAAGCCCTATATAAACCTTGTTTGTTCAGCTTGTGGCTGTTCACGCTACCGGGCTGTCCTCTGCCTCTCTGGCAGAGGGCAGCCACTCGCCTGGATTCTTCCCTCCAAATAAACCCCTTGGATGAGAAGATCTTTTGCAGCAGCGACAGAGCAGAGGCGACCCTGGGCAAAGCAGAGCGAACAGGGCTGTAACACTTGAGCAGGACTGTAAAACTTTTGCTGGGGAAACCTTCCCTTGGCAGAGTGGAGTTGTTACACTGGGCTCTACGGCTCTTGGGAAACTGAGCTGAACTGTAGCAACTTCGCCAGAGAAACCTCCTGCCCAGCAAAACTGCTACACTGGGCGAACATCCCCAGCTGGAAGACCCTGTCCTGCTGGAGTGGAGAAGATATGCTGGGGAAGCCTTTCCCTGAGGCAAGGCTGTAAGCTGCTATCCTTATTGCGGCCTGTGGTGGTCCTTGGCTCCCGAGCTCCAGGATACCTTTCCATCTGAGCTGTGTAACACTCAGTATTCTGTGACTCCCAAGCACCAGAATACCTGTCCCATCCTGATTCGCCCAAAATGCCTACACCCACCATGCTACAGACACTGGCTTCAATCTCCAGCACCATAAAACATAAATAAAGTGAAAATATAGTGTACCCTCTAAGTACACTAGCCGCAGCCCAAGACAGCCATGAATGCAGCCCAACACAAAATTGTAAACTTACTTAAAACATCATGAGATTATTTTGTGTAAAAAAAAAAAGTACTTAACTTCTTGTCTCAAGCATAACCTTTGTAGGTAACAATTTCAGGCCACAATGTCAAAAAGCTACACATCCATCTATCTAAATGTTTGTCTCTCCCCAAAATTCAGATTATTTTTTTTTATTTAACGTAAGGGTAAATTTATTAGAGCATTTGGGGGGGGTTCGAGACAGGGTTTCTCTGTATTTTAGAGGCTGTCCTGGAACTCGCTCTGTAGACTAGGCTGGCCTTGAACTCACAGAGATCGCCTGCCTCTGCCTCCCCAGTGCTGGGATTAAAGGCGTACACCACTAACGCCTGGCATATTAGAGCATTTTTAATTATTTTTTTATTTGCAATAGTGTTTTGTCTGCATGTATGTCTGTGTGAGGGTGTCAAAACTTGGAGTTACAGACAGTTGTGAGCTGCCATGTGGGTGCTGGGAATTGAACAGGAGCCCTTTGGAAGAGCAGTTGGAGATCTTAATCACTGAGCCATCCCTAGAGGGATTTTTGTTTTGCTTTTTTTAAAGGCAGGCAACCTGTAAATCTTGGCATCTTCCCAAAGAAGTAAAATGTAGACAAGAAGGGGGTAAAGCTATGTTGATTGAGTTAGGTCAGCATGTAGAACAGCCAATGGCAAAAAGCATCCAAAAGCAGCAGGGAGGCAGACTTTAGAGAAAGAATAAGAAACTACAAAGTTCCAGAAAAACATGCTTACTCTCTGGCCAGCATCCAAAAGACAGGAAAGAAAAAGGGGTAGTTTTTGTAATGGCACCCCAAGACACTAAGCAGAGCGTTCTTAATCATGAACCCTCAATTACTAAGAGTTGATATAGAATCTATGTGATACAGAAGCCCATAATTAAAACAGCTCCCTTTTTGGTCTCTGACACCTGAGTTGACAAAGGTCATCATCAGTATTTGGAAGCACTGCAACCAGACATCCAGAGCATGTTTCCTTCTTTAGAAGTTGGCCTGTAATCTTGTGGGGTTACAGTTTCAGTGAGGGGTTACCTAATTAGTTAGCCTATGGCATCTGTGGAGAACTACCTTGATTGTGCTGAGTTGGGGAGGACTCACCACTCTAGGTGGCACCAGCCCCTGTTTTGGGGTCCTGTACTATGTAAGAGTAGGAAAAGCAAGCTGAGCATATCCATGACTCATTCATTTTCTCTCTGCTCTTAAATGGATGTGACTAGATGTTAGGTTCCTGCTTCTCTGACTTCAAGCAATGCTAGACTGTAATTTTGTGAGCTAAATGAAACCCTTTTCCTCTAAGCTACTTTTGCCATGGTATTTTATAACAGCGATCAGAAACTAGCCTGGGACACTCAGCAAGTACAAAAGAAAAGTGCAACTAGAGCACCAAAGCCAAAGCCAAACTAACCTAGAGTGCCAGTCAAATAAAACACGCAAAAACTGCCTGTTTCATACAGCTTTGTGAATGAACTACCCAAACTAAGAGGAACATGGCAGCACTCAGTCCTTGTTGAGAATATACAAACCCAAGGCTCAGGCAGAGACCTACCCCCAAAAGGAATAGGTGAACAATGATAGAGGAGACCTCCAATATACCCTTTTCAGATCCCCTCATGCATAGGAGCATACAGCCACATACACATATACAAAAATATAAGTAAGAAAAAAGCCCACAAACTACAGAACTGGTTAAATATAATCTCTCAAATAAAGAACACATTTTCCTTAGAAAATATTTCAAGTAATGTTATGTACATGCCCTGAGAATTTCTTCAGAATAGGCTAGACTTAACTCACTCCAAGTAAATAGATAAAAATAGATAGATAAATAAATAAACAACTAAATACAGAGAGGATTTAGAAAGGAGAGGCAGGTGATGGCACATGCCTTCAACCCCAGCACTCAGGAGGCAGAAGCAGGCAGATCCCTGAGTTGAGGATAGCCTAGTGTACAAAGCAAGTTTCAGGATGGCCAGAGCTACATAGAGAAACCCTGTCTGGAAAAAAACCAAAAGGAAATGGACAGTAGAGAAATCCAACACACTGGAAAGTTCCATCAATAGCGATGTCTTATTCACAGCATACAACAATCAGACAAGCCCCCAATGAGATATTCTATAAAATACCTAATCAGAACTTACTTCTTCACAAAGAGACCAGAGGAAGTAGACATGATGATACAGGCTGAGGTAGGAGGGGAATATGATGATATGTAGGTCTACAGTCGTTCCAAGCTAGCCAATGACAGGCAGTAAGGCCGTGAGAGAGTCACTTTGCCAGTCTCTGTGCATCTCTCTCTCCCTCCCCCTGACCCCCCCCTTCTCAAAAAGAAAAAAAAGTGCAAGTTTAAATCTGGAGCCCATACTGAAAGGTGGATGGTAGCTCTAAGTATTCATGGGAAACCTCTTGCCCTGCATAAGACAATAACAAAGGGGCCCTAAGTCTCCACGCTGTGAAAACACAAAATTTAGCTGAGATCCTGAACTCGGAATACAGCTGAAAAAGGAACCAGCCACCTAGGGAAGTGTTTTTGTCAAGGTCAGCCTGGAGAGCATACAGAGGCGGACACAGCCATGGTCCAAAAGGGCCAAGGGCCAGCTGAAGCTGGCAACAGAACTTGCCATTATCCATGC